CAGCAAAGCCCTGCAGAGGGACGCTCTGCCCACCCCTTCCCCACACCCACCACACCCACCCACCGGGGAACCAGCCGTCCTCCAGCTGCTGTCCAGACCCTCACACCAAGCTCTTTGTTCCACCTCCACCTCTGAGCCCGCGTGTCCCCCTAGAGGAAGAAGTCTCCATCGGCAAGACTGGGAGCCAGTGGAAGGGAGGGTTCTGCTGAGCCTTGCAGAGGGCTTCGGGAAACCACAGGGCCCTGTTGTCCTTGAGTCTCAGAACTGGAGGTTTCCTCTCAGTGTCTGGAGTGAGCAGCACAGGGCCTGCCCCTCAGCTTCTCACCTACAGTCACAGCCAGGGACAGGCCAGTTCCTCTGCTCCCAGCCCTTGGCCCCCTGGATGTCCCTGGCAACAATTCTGGGACGGCTGAGATGGAACAGAACAGAGAGGCTGTCCACAGGCTGCCCCTCAGGGTGGGGTGCAGACAGGTCAGGGGCTAGGCCTGATTGCTCAAAGCAAGTGGGAAGGGCTCCCTGTGCCTGCCCAGGGGACTGCCAGGGCGGGGCTTGGATGTTTCCTTCCTGCCCACCACCTTGGCCTCTTGGCATGGCCCCTGTGCATGGCTGCTCTTATCTCCCTCTTATCTCAGAGCTACCTGCTCCACCCACCTGTCACCAGAGTGGGCCCCGGGACCAGAAGGCAGGCTCCCCTCTGGCCCAGAAGAGGGTGTAGTGCAGCACTGGAAGAGGGAGAGCCAGCAGGACTGCTGCAAAAGTCTGACTAGTGGGGCCTGTTCTAGAAAGATGAGGCTGGAGGCTCCTTCCATGTAATGAGCCCACTGCCGCCCATCACTCCGGGCCCTGCAGACCAGGCCAGCAAAGGCCCCACCCAGCAGGGGTCTCGCTCCAGGATGGGCACAGCTGGGCCATGGGCCTCTCCTGTCTGCAGTGGATAGGGCACACTTCTGTCCAGTGAGGAGACCCCAAGCTCAGGGCTGGCCTCGTATAAACGTGAGCAGGTGTGCACAGGGCAGGGCTCCAGGGGGCACAAGGGAAGAGAAAGCAGGACTTTCCTGACCAGGGGCTGTGGCTTGCTCTTCTTTCTCTATCCTGGTCTCCCTTCTCTGGGCTAATGGACTTCTACCTGGTGACAGTGGCTCTGCATGGCCTGAGTTTTTGGTGGCTGTTTGTGCCCAGAGTCTGAATAAACAGTTGGCTGTATACCAGGGCCCCTTCCAGCAACTGGCCCAGTCTGAGAGGACCCGCTGCTCTGGCTCAGAAATCACCCTGATGCTGGAAGCCTGGAAGCACAGGACTTACCTGTGGCTATGCAGGGCCAAAACCTACCCTCAGATCTCTTATGTCCACCCCAGACCCTGCAGGCCTGGACTCAGGGTCTCAGTCATCATTTATCTCAGAACCCACTGCTGCTGCTTGTCCCCAGGAGTCCCGGGCCTGGTGACAGGCAGTGGAAAGCCAGGGCTCAGGACCACACGCTGCCCACACCTCCCCTCAGATCAAGCAAGAAGGCTCACTGGGCTTCCAACCAACATGCAGCATACCCCAACCCTAGAAAAGGTGGCCACGGTGGTTTCCTAATGCCCATGTCTCGAAGAGCATCATGGGTGCAGTTCACAATGCATGTTTTCCCCAGTAAAATGAAGCTGCTGGCAACGCTCACCTGGGGCCTGGCCCATCGCTCTGGCCCTTCGCTCTGCTCTGAGGCTGCCACTTTTCTGCCCTCCCCACCCCTCCATGCTTTGGAGCACTCTGGGAGCACAGAGCTGTGAAATTTGATCCCATTCCTCCAGAAGACTAGAGATTCATTCTATTCACAGTATTATGACAAAGTGACTTGCTCAGTGGCTTAACAGAATGTTCTTTAATGTCTCTTGCAATAATAAAATCCCTGCTTTCTCACCCATAAAGATATTACTCTCACTAAAAGATTTAATTTGAGCAAAAAGCAGGAGTGATCAATACAAGGTGTGATGGGAAATATGGTAAATGTTTAAATTAAAAATTTATTGCAATAAAAACACATTGCCATAAATTCCCAAAACACACCCCACCCTTGCCCCTGAATCCCTTTATCCCCTCATTCTAGTCACTTTCTCCTTTCTTCTCAGTTTGTTTATTTTTTGAAACCGGTTCCTGCTATGTAGTTCAGGTTGGCCTTGAACTATGTAGCCCATGATGGCTTTGAATTTGCAGCAATCCTCCTGCCTCAGCCTCTCAAGCACCAGGCTTACAGCCTTACCCCTTTATGAAGCAATTCTGGAAGCCCTCTTTCGTAAGTATCTTTTCAAGGTATGATAAAAAATACGAATACTGCTGCTGAGTGCCACCCAATGGAAAGGCAGGCTCATAAAAACATGATGCTGTGTCCTCATCCACCTTATTTACCAGATCTGGCACCATGTGACTTCTAGCTTTTCTCTAAAGTCAAAATGACCATAAAAGGGAAAAATTTTGAATGGCTTCAGGACATCGAAGCAGCCACAACAGTGCAAAGACACTCGGAAGAGGGCTTCCAGAACTACTCCAGAAAGTGCCAAAGGATGGGATAAGTGTGTTTAAAGTGAGGGGAAGGGCTCTGAGGGGGACTCATAGCAATGTGCCTTTTACGTAATAAATTTTTAAAATGTAAACATTTGGAAAGCAACATGGACAAAAAGAAACCCTGAGTGGCTGGTCCATCTGTCTCCAGCACCAGGGTACAGGGCACACACTTACCTCTGCTGAGGTTGAGGCCTCCTGTTGGGGAGGTGAGAGCTGATAGACAATCCCTCCCCAAGCCCCAGCATGTGGTGAGGGAGGAGGACAAGCCAGGGCAGCAGGCCTGCCTCGAGGCTTCCTGTGCTGTGTGATACCAGCAGGTACAGGTACGTGTTGCATCCCAGCACGTGTGCCCGGAGACATGAGCAGAGGGGCTGTTCAAGGCAGTCTGAGATAACCACAGGCACGTCACCTAGAGATGGTATCAATGACAACACAGTGAGCTTAAGCCCCCTCCCCCACTTCTGGGGATGGAAACCTGGGCCTTGCACTGAGCTACATCTCCAGCCCTTGCTGGGGTATTGCTAAGTTGCTAAATTGCCTGGGTTGGGCTCAAACTTTCAATCCTCCTGCCTCAGCCTCCCACAGTGCTGGGATTACAGATATGTGCCAACATACCTGACCACAGCGAGTTTTAAATGAATGGTTTTATTGTTTCTATAAAAATGATAATGCTGGTTATAAAGTACATTAATAAATCCTTAAGAGCTAGCCACACTCCCTCAACCATTCCGTCCCCATGTCCCCGACGTGCGCTATGCTGCATTCCAAGCGCCTCTCCCTGTCTGCACAGATCAGAACATGTCTGGGTAGACAAAGGCTTTGCCAGAATGAGGACCGTGCCACACGTGCTGTGGACTGTTGAAATTTCCTGTTCTCTGTTTAGCACATAATTATTCTTTTTGTCATGTGCCTGCAAGAAGCACCACCAGATTTCAGAAAAATCCAGGACTTAAAACTTGGCCCTGAATAGACTCTGCAACCTAGCTGCTGCTGACAATTACGAGAAGCCAAACAGTTACCAGAGAGCTCCCTGTCTCCTGTAGCATGGATGCCACTGCAAAGGGTCCCCTAGACCAGGAGGACCCACAGTTGTTGAGGCGCCATGCCCAGGGCTAACCTGAGAACCCTGAGTGGATGGGGGAGCAGAATAACCTGTGGTGGACATCCAGGTCCTAATCTCTGGAACGACATGCAGTGACAGGGGCTCACAGGTGGGGTAGGATCATGAGGTGGGCACAGGGGTCGGAGCCAGACAGAGACTTGAGCACAGGATCCCGGGCCCTGAGACCTGAAGAAGCCACACTGTCGGCTTGAGGATGGAGGAAGGGCCACCACCAAGGAACATGCCCAGCTTCTAGAAGCCGGCAAAGCCAGGAAACAGATTCTCCCAGAGCCTCCTGAAGGAACACTGCCCTTGGACCCACTTTAGATGTCTGAATTCCACACTAAGGCATGTCTGTGCTGCTTGAAGACATGGAATTTGCAACAGTCAGTGCAGCAACAGGAGACACACAGGAGACTTCTGGAGGAGGAACTGATGCTCTCAGAGGAAAGGTGGACAGGGCTGGCAGGGGGGTGGGTGCCGGGCCTGAGCCTATCCTATTTAGTCCACAGTGGCCTGGGATGTCCTGCGACTCTGCACCGGCTCCCCTCCCCAGGCGCTCTGAGCCAGACCAAGGGGCGCTTTCTTCCCTCTCCTTCTTTCCCTCCCCTCTCCTTGTCCTCCTCCTCCTCTTTCCACCCTCCCCCCCCTTCCTATCTACCTTCTCTTTCTCCTCCCTCTCCCCCTCCTTTTATTCTTCCTTCCTCTTCCTAAGTTGTTTTTTGTGATACTGGGGGTTGAACTCAGAGCCTTTGCACTGAGCTACATCCCCAGCTCCTATTTTCTGAGACAAGGTCTTGTTAAGTTGCCAAGTTGCCCTGGCTGGGCTTCAACTTGTAATCCTCCTGCCTCAGCCACATAGTGCTGGTGCAATTTTTTTTTTTTTGGTACTGGGGATCGAACTCAGGACCTTGTGATTGCGAGGCAGGCACTGGAACCACTGAGCTAAATCCCCAGCCCAGCCACATAGTGCTGGGATCACAGGTGTGCACTGGGCCTGCTGCAGGCACCTTCTAATGATATCCCTGGCTTGTGATGACAAGGGCACAGGAGAAATAAAATGCATGTTTACATGATAAATGAACTACCAACAATATTTTATGGGAAGCCCTGGCAGGGAGTCAGGCTGCTGGGGTTCCTAGGAACCCCACTTTTGAAAACCAGACCCAGATAATCCACACAAAGGAACCCCCTCTGTGGAAGGTGAGCCCAGTGGTGCAGGGCTCACTCTAGACTGCTTTGTGGCCCCTCCCCCTGCCAGTTTGTGGGTTACAGGGCCATCACCTCTGCCCAAAACTCATTTATTTCCAAATGAGGATTTAGTCATGTACACAAGAAGCTCCACTACAAAGAGTATCATACAAAACCTTTTTATTTCAAAGTAACTTGAGTTCCAAAAGTTGCAAAGGTGGGACAGGCTCTACCTGGTTCCCTCAGTGATCCAGACACGACCTCAGGATGCCAAAGCAGGAGCTTGACCTGGCGTCACACTGGCCAGACCTGCAGGGCAATCATCTGAGTCTGTCCCGGTGTCCCTTCCTTGCCAGGACCCACAGGGTGCCAAGCCCTGTCTCCTTGACTGCTCAGCCCTGACAGCCTGTCTTTTGTGACCTTGATGCTTGAGGCTGATGTGCAGGTGCAACTGTCTAGAAGACAGTCCCTCAGTTTGGGTCTGGTGTTTCCTCAGGGTTTTGGTTGTACAGTTAGGACAAACCACCCCAGAAACAATGCTGTGTCCACCAAGTTGCCTTACTGGTGATGACCACGTGGCCAAAGTGACCCCTGCAATGTCACCGTACCAAGAGCCTGAGTGAAGGTTTCTTCAGAGTCATTCTGCATTACATTTTGCCACTAACTTCAGGGCCCACTGATGGCTCTCATCCGCAGCCATTATCACTGCAGCTGTCAGACACACACTGTCCCTACCATCTTGCCTACATCATTACAGTGAGGAAGGAAGACGTGTCCCTTGCCCCATGAACACTCATCCAGGGACTGCTACCCACGCGGGCTCATGGTGGCAGTGGTACTAATGTGTGCCGTAATATCACAGTCATTCTTCCCTGCTCACCATCTCAGCTTCGGCCCCTGGAAGATCTGTTTGTTGCCTCAAGCATCCCTTCTACAAGCCCACACTTTGTCCCTCTGCTCTCTGGCAGATACTCTCAACTCATCTTGCACTTTCCTGTGCTGGCCTGGCTTCAGCCGGGACCCTGTTCCTTCTGTCAGAGAACAGTATCAGAACCCAGAGCCATGGTCCAGGGATTTAGCTCAGTGGTTTCGTTGCCTGCCGCACAAGCACAAGGACCCGAGTTTGATCCCTGGTACCAAAAAAAAAAAAGAACACAGAGCCTGGGGCTGGCTGTCATGGCTCCCAGGCCCTGGTACGTGAGGCTAGGAAACATTCTCCTGCATACCCACAGACACCTATACCTATTTCTGTATCTGGCTTTTACATCAGAAAGCCACCAGTTCAGTATAGCAGGCTCTCAGTATCCACAATGTACTTCTAGTTTTTCAACCCTAGAATAGTCTCAGAACCGTCTATGTAAAACTCAGATTTCCCACCTGGAGTAAATACCTCGTCTTTTTGTCTCGAGAGCCAGGTAAAGTGGCCTGGGGAGCCACTCCTTCCCAACAGTGCTGGGAAGCAGGATAGGACAGAGGACACACAGGCCCAGGCTCACATGGCACTGGCCTTTGTGCTTGGCTTTAAACCCTGGGATACAGCAAACCCATCCCAGATATTCTGCCTGGGCACCAGACAGCTGTAATGTTTAAACTCTCTAGAGGCAACCCTGAAACCTGCCTGAGGCTGAGAAGCATGCTCCAAGTATTGCTTACTGAAAGACATGTTATAGGACCATGACTCCAGTGCATGCAGGAGTCTTGAGCCAGTACTGGCTGAGAGGTAAGTGTGGATGCTATTACAAGGTGAAAACCCAGAAAACAACCTATGTAGGTCTAACTCTGCTCAATATTCTAGCCTTCAGAGATGCAATAAATGACTTATTGAAACTACGTATCTAGTTTTACTTTATTTTTTTGGTACTGGGGATCAAACTTGGGACCTTGCGCTTGTGAGGCAGGCAATGGCACCACTGAGCCAAATCCCCGGCCCCAGTATCTAGTTTTATAAATATAGCCTGATATGAATCAGAAAATGACTCAATTATAAAGCTACTTGGTACGATGCATAAAAAAAAAAAAAATCAAGAGCCAGTTGGGGTGGTGCATACCTGTAATCCCAGCACTCCAGGAGGCTGAGCCAGGAGCATTATAAATTTGAGCCCAGACTAGGTGACTTAAGTGATTTAGAAAGATCCAATCTCAAAATAAAAAGCAAAAAATGGTTGGCAATGTTGCTCAGTGTATGGGCCCCGGGATCAGTCCCTAGTACTGTCCCTGCTCCTCACACAAAATAAATAAAATTTTAAAAATCAAGAAGTCAAGTATGAGCCAGATGTGGTTGTGCACACACATAATCCCAGCTACTTGGGAAGCTGAGGCAAGAAGACCGTAAGTTCAAGGCCAGCTTGGGCAATTTAGCAAGATCGTGTCCCAAAATAAAAAGGTCTGGGGATATAGCTTAGAGGTAGAGCACCCATGGATTCAATACCTAGTATCGAAAAAAAAAAGGAAAAAAAAAGTCAAGTAGGTCAAAAGCCAAATAATTTCTCACTTCTTATTTTGTATTCTACATTTGTAAACAAAAACAAAAAATAAAAAACAAAAAAACCCAAACTGGCATGTGTATCTGTGCTTACAAAAGGAAAGTGTTCTGCTAGGGAACAGTTATCCTCTGATGATCTGCAAGTAAGAGTCTGATATCTGCAGGGTGAGTGGGTCCTTGGGAAAGCTGCTCAGGGCACCACAGTGTGAAGGTGCCCTAGGCAGGATATCACTCCAGAGCTCTTCCCTCCTGCTGTGAGCCTCCTGGGGACCCTGTGCTGCATGCGGATTGATAGATTAAACTACTCTGTTATGAGAAAATGAGAATCTAAAAAGAACAGCAATTAATGAAAATGATTTGGGAGCTTCAGAAGTCAAGCCAAGTCCCTGGTTATAAGGAATATCCACAGGGAGGCACCTCCATGCGGCTTCAGGGCGAATTCGAGGCACCAGTGGGCCTCAGCATAGGGCCTCCTGATGGCCAATGCTCCTCATTTATTAAAATTTACTCTTAGCCTCTGACTGTCCATCTACCAAATCTCCAAATCCCAGTTTTTCCAGTGGTTCTTGAGCCATCAGTTGCCTGAAAGAAAAATGGAAAGCTGTCAGAGGGAGGGAAGAAAAGGGGGATGGGGAAGAAGAAAGGGACTGAGCAGAAGGGAGGGGGACAAAGAAGACAGGTCTACAATTTGGGCCACACAGGGCACACACTCACTTCACCCACACTGGAGGACCCTGGCACCCACTGTGTCTTAGATCATGCTCTCCCCACAGAACCAAGAATTGGTGGTACAAGGACACACCCACCACAGCCTCAATGTGCCCTTCCGGCCGCACTCCAAAAACTCTGGGGCCTGCCGTGGGGCAATGCATGCACTCAGGACTCAAGGCGGGGGTGTTGGGGTACAGAGCCCAGACATCATAGGTGTTCACACAGGTGTGCATGGAGCCCTGAGGCCTGCGATGCAGCCAGGGCTGGAGAAAGCAGGGTGGACTGCGCTCGGCTCCCCTGAGCAGCCACATTCTGGGTGGACAGCTACGGAGGCCTTCTTTACACCTGGCTATCAGGACACTGTGAAGAGCTGATGAAGCAGCACAGAGTACGAAACTTTACACTTCATTAGTGTGGATAACTTGTTTTTCATTTCTGGAGACTGAACCCAGGGCCTTTGCACAGAGCTATATCCCTAGGCCTTTTCTTATTTTGTATTTTGAGACAGGGTCTCCCTAAATCACGAAGTTGCCCAGGCTGGGCTCAAACCTGTGATCCTTCTGCCTCAGCCTCCCAGAGTGCTGAGATTACAGGTGTACAGCACCATGCTTAGCTAAGGGTAACTTTGAAATGTTTAGCATATGTGCCATGGGCTCCATATGGCAAATCTCTGGCACTGCACAGCCAGGGACATAGTCCTACCACAGGTAAGTACCTCAAAGGATGAGGCCTCTCTCTATCCCTGCCAGTGCTCCATTTCTGTGTTTTTCAGACCTAAGAAATCAAAGGTATCATGCCCCTCAAAAGGTTTAAGTGTGTCACCACTCCTAGAAGGAGGAAGTGCTGAAACTTGCCTGTGGAGCAGGACCACAGGTCGAACCAGGCCCCTATCCCCATTACCCACCTCCCCGTGCTCTGTTGCAGCCTCAAGAAATGAGCTGGCAGTGGCTCGGGGCCAACAAGACCCTAATCTCTCCTTTTCATTCCTAGGGGTGCCCAACCCCACTTAGTACAATTTATGCAGAGTACAGCAATTCTACAGAATGGAATGCACAAGACAGCATTTAACACAAGGTAGGCAAACAATAACACATCTCCCCCACATCTTGGTAAAGAGTATATCTGGCCAACAGCTCTGCATGATGACCTCAGACTTGGTCAACAGAATAAGAACCCCCAGTGACGTCCACACCTAACTCCTGGACCCAGTGGACATGTTACTTTCCTTGGGCAGGAGATTGAGGCTGCCAATCTGCCTTGGGTGATGCAGGACTAATCACATGAGTCCTTAACACTGCAGAATCTTTCCTGGCTTCAGTCAGAAAAAAGAAAGAAGGATCCGAGATGCATGCTCACTGGGTGGGAGGAGGGAAGAAGGGGCCATGAGCTGAGGGATGAGTGCCTCTCACAGCTAGAAAGGCAAGAGACAGATTCTGCCTTGCAGCCTCCAGAAGAGACCAGCACAGCCAGCATTAGACCAGGGAGATGTGGGCGACTTCTGACCTATACATTGAAGGTCCAGAGTGTATGTGGTAAAGCTGCCTTGTCTGCAGAGCCTGTCACAGCGGTCACAGGAAACACATGTAGCTGTGCTTACTCAGATGCTGCCTCTCATGGTTAGGACAGGAAGAAGGAACAAAGAGGAAAAACTGTAAGCCAAATGAGACAGTTCAAGAGATCGATCCCTTCTGCTACCTGCAAACCTTCATAAAGCCAGCTCCTGAGCTAGGCCACCCAGAACAACTGTGACTCTGAACAAGTTCTAAAGCCAAAGATTGGTTTCAATGCCTCTCTTTATCCTAAGGGAATCAACCATGAAAAACATTCTGTTTCCTGGTCATTTTTAAAGGATTAGCCATTTCGATAAAGAATCACCTAATCTTATGGAAAGGAAAATTACTCCTGTTTATCACAGCACGATCACTTTAGAGGCACTGACTCCTCATTCAGTGCGATAAAATTTTATGTGCTCTCTATTCTCTAGGGCAATAACAATGGTAATAATGTCACTGATGGACTCCCAGGTCAGGTTAAATGCTTTACAAATGTGGTCTTTGCACACTCCCGGGCAAGACAACAAGCAAAGGTGCTAGAAGGTAGTGACTCATGGATTACCTGTGTATTTTTTGTAGTCTTTGCCAACAGTATAATCCCCATTTTAATGGGTTTTTTTTCCCTATGAGAGAATGTGGTCATCCAAGACATGTACATACTTTTCCATCACACTTATACAGCCCAGGTCCTCAAGATAGCTTTAAGAACTCTACTGAGGTCTGTTTTTTACACTTGATCTTAGCCAAAAGCCCAAGAAGCGATGAGGTCTGTTTTTTTAAAAGATGCATATTATTAGCTGGGCGTGGTGGTGCCTGCATGTGATCCCAGCTGAGGCAAGAGGATTGCCATGAGTTCGAGGACAGCTTGGCCTACATAGTGAGTTCAAGGCCAGCCTGAATAATATATGGAGACCTCGTCTCAAAAAACAAACAAACAAACAAACAAACAAACAAAACATACTAAAGTAAGTAGGGGCAAAAGAATGCCTGGGATTTCAGAAAGAAAGAAGGAGGGAGGCAAGGAGGGAGGGAGGGGTTAAAAATAGGCATGCACAAAACAGGTATATGCAGATGGCCATCATATGAAACTCTGACCTGACCTGGTGGTTCTGGAAGGCTGGACCAACCTAAATTTGCATGTTCAATGATTCTCATTACAATCAACCAAAATTCTACAGTGAAAATGACCAAATGAGAAGCCACACACCTGTGTGCTCACATGAATGTCACTTGAGAATGAGTAAAACCATTAAAAGTCGTGGTGCATGTCCTCTTCCACTGTCCTTACAGGAGTGAGGCAGCTAGGTCACAGTGGTGGCTGCAGCTGACCCCCAGGGTCATTGGGAAATGAGAACCCCTCTGCAGTCCCTGCCTGGAAGCCTTCATCTGACAGTCCAAGAACCTTCTTTGGAGAGCCTAAGCCAGCCAAACCCAAGCAACCCAAGCAGCCAACAGCTGCCTGTCTACCTGTTTGCTTGTCTGTGAGCCCAAGCATGTTAATAGTACTTGTTAACTTTCATCAGCTTCCCTCTGTGGAACTTCATATTATACAGATTTTCAAGATCTAGGGACTACCCAAGGTGTGGTGGCACATGCCAGCAATCCTAGCACTCTGAGACTGAGCCAGGAGGATCACTTCAAGTTTAAGACCAGCCTGGGCTATATAATGAGTTTAAGGTGAACTACACAATGAGACTGTCTCAAACCAACAGAAAGAAAATCTGGGAACTGAGTTGGGTGAGGCAAGAGACCTGGTCACACCCTCATAAACAGGCAGAGCCCTCTCTAAAGTGCAGCAGCACCAAGAAAATATTCTCATTTCCAGTTTTCTTTTTTTTTTTTTTCAGCACTGGGGATTGAACCCAGGGAGCATTCTACCATTAAGCTGCACCCTCAGCCCCTCAGTTCCTTTTCTAAAGGTGCATGTTTAACGTTCCTGCCAGCTTGAACCACTGGTGGTACATGCGTGACTATCCCATCAGACAGCTTGAATCACCTAATAGGACTGTCCTGTTGTCCAGTGGGACAGTCATGTTTGTACTACTGGTGGTTCAGAGCCACCTGGTAGAAAGACATACGAATTATGGCCCCATTGTGAACATGTTAAGACAGTGATTCAACAATGCTATTCTAATCAATGTGCTATTTAGAGGCAGGAGCTGGATGCACTGTGGCCCTTGGGCAGATTCAAGACCTGTAAGAACACCTCCACACTGAAAAGCCCATCACCCTTCAAGTCCCAAATGTCCACACTGATGACCTGGCACATACCTGTGCCTCCAGGGGAGTATCTGACAAGTGTAAGCTTCCAGAAAAGGCTGTGTGAATCCCTCCTGAGCTGACTATGGCTTCAGAAATCAAAAATGAAGTACCACCATCATATAATTTTACATTACGTGCTTTTTTACATTAAGGATTGGAATAATTCTTATTTTAAGTAAAAGCTGCAGAGATCACAGTTACAAACATTTCTATTTGTTTAAAAGTGGACTCTTGGGGCTGTGGATTTAGCTCAATGGTTCCGCTGCCTACCTCCCAAGTGCAAGGTCCTGAATTTGATCTCCGGTACCAAAAAAAGAGTGAACTCTGGTTAAGACAGGAAGAGTTATTCATCTTTCATCATTTCTTAAATGGCCTATTGTCTCTGCTGTCACATTCCAAACAGCTGTAAGTGGAACCAAACAATATAGAGCACAATTTTCTGGTCTGAGAATGTGAAAGAAATAACCTGTGCTCATACAATCTTCAAATCTTTTGACTCAGTCAGCATTTTCACGATGTACAAATCTGAAGCCTTAATGACAGGTCAGTAGTACTTTAGTTTGGAAAGAAAATGCTCTGAGGAATGCAATCATGCATAATGCTGTCACTCAAGCAGAGGTTCCCAGGATTGCTAAACAGTTTTTCATACAATCTCATCTGATAAGCTTCAAGTTCATTGGCAAACATCTATGGTTCTGAAATATGTAAGTTGAACCCCAGGCCCAAATAAAGCATACTATAATGGACTTTGGGGGAAGTAGAGCGTTAGTCTAGAAATAGGAAGTGCCCAAGCCTGGTGGCACACACCTGTAATCTCAGGACTCGGAGGCAGGAGGATCGCTGTGAGTTCGAGGCCAGCCTGAACTACATAGTGAGTTCAAGGCCAGCGTGAACTACAGAGCGAGACCCTGTCTCAAAAAAAAAGTTTCTTGCCATGGCTCTTCTCCTTTTGTTTTTGTTCTCATGGATATATACCTTTTTAAGAATAGCCCTTTGGGAAAGGTGGAATCTAACATCAGTGTTCACAACATTTTTAATGTTGTTAAGGAAATTCCTAGGTGATCTATTTTCAAAGAATAGTGGTATTTAATGGAGTGTGTTATCTGCAGTTCATGACCACTGTCTCCTGGTCCTGAATTTGTGACAGCTGAATGGCCTCCTACATAGTCACTCTTAGCCTTTCCAGATCTTGGAAACAAAGCCAATCTGAATTGGCTCACAGTAAGTGCAAGCGGCATTATTCAAGTGCTGATCCAGGGGAAGCTGCCCTTTATTCACCTACAACACTTGCCCTTCTTGGACATCTCAGGGGAGGCGAGAATCCTGGGAGCTATAAGACATTTTTCCTAGGCCCACTGATGCCTCAGAGCAAGCATTTCTGAGCACTCCTTGAAGGGACTTCCATTACTGCTGCTGTGAATACAGGGGTGGGGTGGGATGGGGGATGTCCTGGTTCTTGTGGTTACAGGGGAGGTTGTCATATTTAGTCTGGGGCTTCAGTTGCTATGCAAACTGCCATACACACACATCAAAGCTGTCAGAAAACAAGCACACACAGTAAACACTAAACAAACACAGGGCTGGGATGCCTGTAATCCCAGCACTCTGGAGGCTGAAGCAGGAGGAACACTTCAAGTTCAGGGCCAGCCTGGACTTCATAGTGAGTTCAGGGCCAGCCTGAACTACAAAGTGAGACCCTGTCTTTAAAAGAAAAAGGAAGAAGAAGTAGGAAGTGGAGTCATGAATGTTAGTTTGTACTTGCCTTTCCATTCTGCACTCTAAATATTCTTTTGATTCATTTCTGCATAAAGCATTTTCAAAATTATTGTCACGAAGACACTTCATGAATTTCTCTTTAAAGCTTTTACATTCACCTAGAATGAGAAAGAAAACAGCGTCTTCTGTTTAAAGTTGATGTATCACAGCTGCCTTAAGAGTGACTCTACTCTTCTTTCAAATCTTGCTTCCCAGCTGGGCATGGTGGCACACACCCCTAATCTCAGCACTCTGGGAGGCTGAGGTAGGAGGACTAAGCCCAGCCCAAGCAACTTAGCAAAATCCTGTCTTGAAGTAAAAAATATAAAGGCCTGGTGATGTAGCTCAGTGTAAAGGCCCTGGGTTCAATCCCCAGTATTGCAAAACAACCAAACCCATAAAGCTGGGCTTCTTCATAGTGCTGGGGGTGTGGCTCAATGGTAGGGTGCCTGCCTAGATGAATGAAGTCCTGGATTGGATGACCACACTCCCCCAAATTTATTCCTTCAAAAACAAAAAGGTAATACTGGAAAGAAACAATCCCACAATGTGATGAAGCAAGTGCAGGGAAACGTTAAGGGCAGGTTCCAGGTAGAGACGAGTTACTGGGTAGTTCATGGTATAGGGGAGCCCACTGAAACCAACTGTAACAGCTGTACACTTCATAATATTCACAAGCATGTATTTGGGCTGCGGATGTAGCTGGGTGTCAGACCACTTGCTTAGCATGCAACAGGTCCTGGGTTCAATAGTCAGCGCCACAAAAAATAAAAATAGATATTTATTTGCATGACATTCGCTGAAAAATTGAGCATTTTTTGCTCCCTAACAAAAGTCACTGCAGTGCTGGGTGGCAGATCTTCCCAGTAAGAACCAAAGGGAAGCCCAAGACTGAATCCAGATTCGAGGAGTTGGCGTCGCTGTCCTTGTCCTGTTAGGTCTCACTTGGGAGTCTACGCCTCGGCAGGTGACACTGTTTATCTTGTGTCGGTCTTCCCGAATCTCGGTTTCCCTGCCTGTACCTCCACAGAGCTCTGAGTAGCCCTGGTTTCATAGCCCGTGATGGGCCAGGAGCACACCTTGCTCTGAATCCCAAGGGTTGTACCCATAGACCCTGCTGCCCCACCTGTCCCCTAGACCCGGCACCCGAAAGCCAGCACCTCAAACCCGCTCCCTATATCCACACCCCGGAGACGCTGCACCTCAACTCTGCTCTCTCGACCCTAGACACTGAACCTTCTCAGCCCAGTCCTCTTCACCAGTGCCACGAAGAACCCGCGCGCCTCAGCCCCGCCCCCTGGCCGTCCTCTGCCTGCCCCTCAGACTCTGCACTTCAGGCTCGGTGTGCGTGGGCCCATGAAAAGTGACCCTACCCGCGATCCCTGGCCTCACCGAAGTGATCCAGCGGGAAACTGCCCTTGTCCGGGGGCCGCGGCTGGAAGCTCTTGGTCCCGAAGTTCATAGCAGTCGACATGACGGAAGCACCCGGACACAGAGCGCGATGCGCGACGTACGCAAGGCGGCCGGCCGAGCGCCGAGCGGGCCCGGAGAGCGTCGAGCACGTCGAGCGGAGGACCCGCCCCGCCCAGGCCCCACCCCCGAGCACACCGCGACTGCGCTGCCCTCCGGGTCCCGCTTCGCCTCTGTCCCCCGCTCGCCCTCGTCGCGTTCCCAAAGCTCCTGACTCGGGGGTAAAGTGGGTTGCCAATCCCCAGTAGACGAGGAAAGCTCAGAGGTGCAGCAACTTGCCCCAGGACCCATAGCTGTACCCAGGGGGTCTCTATCCCAGGTGTCTGCCGGGATCAGTTTCCTGTCTGCATGGAGGACCAAATCGTGACAAGAAGATAGAAGAGGAGTGTACCTTAGCGTCCTGAGGCTGCCATAACGAGTGCCACAAGCAGTGGCTGGAAAAGCAGTTCTCCTGGGTTCAGGAGGCCAGGAGTCTGTCCTGGGTGGGGAGGCTCCAGGGGGACTGTCCCAGCCTCTCCCCAGGTTCTGGGTGTGCCCTCCGTCCTTGGTGCCCCTTGGCTGGGCACCCTGTCTGGGTCTCCACTTCACAGGACCCACTAACTGCCTGAATGTCCCTGTGTTCTTGTGTGTGTCCCTGTCTGTGTGTGCCCCTGTGCGTCCCTATATCCTCTATGTTCCTGTGTCCTCTTTATAAGGACTCCCACCGTGCTGGGTTAGGGGCCATCCTAATGCTCTCATCCTAACTAATTACAGGAACCTTTTTTCCCCACAAAGGTCAGTCTTAGGTATTGGGGGCCAGGACTTCACCGTATGAATTGGGGGGGGCACTCTGGCACTCACTTATTACTGTTGTTATGACAACAGTCACATCAGGGAAAGGGCCCTTGGAAGCAGCTCTGGGAACCTCTGCCCAGCCCTGTCCCTGGCACCTCCTGCTGCTCAGCGCCTACCACTGCCACTGGATACTGGAGGAAACAGATCGCTGACCCTTCTTAGTGCTGCTTAGTGGTTCTGAGATTCTGCCCTGAGCTCCAGCTCCTATCTAACATTGTGTGCTCACCCTAAGCCAGGCCCTGTAGGAGACAGCAGAGCCCCACTGATCCCATTTGTGATGGCAGCCAGTACCACTGATGCTCCTAGTGCTGGGAGAAGGAGCCGACTCCTGAAACATCACAGGGGCTGCCGAGAGGAGCCTGGGCAGGAAATCCTCAGCTCCACCACAGGGCCCTCCCCTCTGCCAGCTTGGGCCCTCTTGGCTTGGGGTCCCCTCCTCAGAAGGTTGCCAGCATCTCCCTTGCTGGTTCTCCAGCACATTTGCACTGTGCAGCACACACCACTGGATTCTTCTGTCAAGGATGGACCAGCTCTGTGTGTTCAGAGCCAGTCCTGAGTGTCTGTGGATGACCCAGCAGAGGGGACTTCACCTCCATAGCCCCAGGGAAGGCCTGAGAAGTAGGGGCCTTTTTCAGTGTGAGGCTCTGGGCCCACTTAAAACTACAAAAGGGAAAATTGCCCCTTGTTTTTCTCATATAAATAACCATTTGTACACGGCTAGAACCAGGCAGCACACTGGGTTATTCATTAATATGTTTCCAGGGCTGTGAACAATAGAAGCTTTTATTACTCGGCAGATTGCCCTTTCCACTTGACTAAGTCACATCACTTAGCAGGGAAAGGACAGCCCCTTTCCCTGAGGTTGATCAGCCTCTGTCTGGCAGCCCTAATAGACCAGGAAAGCAGCAGAGGCCAATCACCGGAGGTGACAGCGGATTTTAATTGACTGTCACCTGGCAAATGATTATTGCTTTATATGAGATCTTTGGCTGGGAAAGATTTTTATTTACAGTTCACAGGTATGGAAAATGGGGGAAGGAACTTACCTTTCTGAAGCCCTCTTGTGTGGAAGGCTTATTCCAGAAAGGAACCCAAGCACTTGGAATGGTGCCTGGCGCATAGTAGGTGCTTAGCAGAAAGTTCTGAAGTGAGTGAATGCAGTTAGGTGTTTTTAGTCTCATCATCTCACACAGAGACTAAACTCAAAGGGATCAATTCCCAGCTTAACCCTATAGCTACATAACAGACCGCCCCTACCTAGTGTACTGCAGCAGTGAAATTGCTTGCCTTGCACAGGAACTTGTAGTCCAAGCAGGTCTGGGTAGGGTAGCTCCACATAGCATCAGCTGCAGTCTTTACTTCATATGGCTGGCAGCTGGCACCAGCTGTTGGGTAAGAATAGCTGTACTTTCTCCAGTTTTGGTTTTTCCACCTGCACCCCTCAAGGTCACCTGGTGTTCCTCACAGTGGGGCAGGCAGAGAACAAGTAGGGGCTGCATCTCTTTTGTGCTGACCTTGGGATCCCACAGGGTAGCCTCTACCGTGGTCACAATGCCCAAGTTCAGGAGCAGGGGACGCAGGCTGCTTCTCTCATGGGAAGGGTAAAGCCGTATCATGAGGGACATGCAGTTGGGATCATCTGTGACCACTTTTGGGTGCTGTCATCTGCTACAGCCGTCTGATTCCACACTCCTGTTGGGGACTGACCCCCCCATCTCTGGGTTAGTCATAGCACTGTCTTGGCCTCAGCCACAGGGGTTGCTCAGGGCACCTGACCACCTGCCTGATCAACCAGCTCTGATCAGAACAGTCCCTGGGGTGCTTGAGTGACCAGGATGGAGAGCATCACACCACCTCTTTGTAGGGCACAGAGAATGTCTTTGGAATTCAGAGGGAATAGACCTTGGCTCCACAGTGCCCTCATCAGGAATCTGCTCTGCCATGTCCTCGAAGCCAGGCACAGAGAAGCTGTGACATATTTCTAGCAGGGTGTTGGGCACCAGCCCATGACTGGAGCCAGGAAATGCTCAGCCCAGCCATGCCTGCATCAGGCAACAGCCAGTGGGGGCTCCTGTCTAACTCTGGGCACACAGGACTGTTCAAAATGAAAGGCAAGTTGGGTGTGGTGCTACAGGCCTGGAATCTCAGCCTTCTTGGAGGCTGGGGCAGGATTGCAAGTTCAAGCCCAGCCTGAGGAACTTAGTGACTTAGTGAGACCCTGTCTCAAAGTGAAAAATAAAAAGGGTGGGGGATGTAGCTCCATGCAAAGGTCCTAGGTTTAATCCCCAGTACTGCAAAGAAAGAAAGAAAAAAAGAAAAAAAAAAGGCAACAAAGCAATATCCAGCGGGAGAGAGGGGACAAACAGGTGCTTGAGGGAGCTTTAGGGTGATGGGGTGTTTGCTGACTTGATCATGGCAATGGCTTCATAGATATGGATGTGTCAAAATTGGTATTGCATGCTATTTATTTATTGCGGTACTGGGTATCAAATCCAGGGGTGCCCTGCCACTGAGCTACAACCCCAGCCACATTTATTTATTTATTTATAATTTTGAGATAAGGTCTTGCTATTCCCCAAGTGGGACTTGAACTTGTGATCCTCTTGTTTCAGCCTCCCAGAGTGCTGGGATTATAGGTGTGTGTCATCATGCTTGTCAGATTGTATGCTTAGCATCTGGCTCACAGTGCATTGGTAATGCTGTAAAAACAAGCACATAGACCACTGGGTACAAATGTGTCCCCAGAGGATGCAGGAGCGAATGGCCTAGTGGAGAGGGGGCTCGTTTATGGGGCCCTTCTGCCATCAAAACTAACTTTCTTCTTTTTCTTCCTCCTTTGCTGTCCTGTCTCCCTTCCCTTTCCCTTTTCCTCTGTTTTTCCAGTACCAAGGATTGAACCCGAGGTCTTCACATTGAGCCCTTTTTCATTTTTTATTTTGAGACAGGGTCTCACTAATTGCCCAGGCTGGGCTTTAATTTCCAACTCTCCTGCCTCGTGAGCCTCCCAGAGTGCTGCGAGGATTGGCACGTGTATCACATGTGGCTTCGACTTTCCATTTGGTGTTGCCTTATTTAGAAATAGGGTCTCTACAGGTGTAACTGAGGTAAGGAGCTCAAAACGAAATCATCATGGAATTAGGGTGGACCCTAAATCCAGGGACTTGTGACCTCAGACAGAGAAGAAGATGATGCTGAGAGGAGGCTATGTGAAGACAGGCAGAGGAGTTAGGCTTGTGAGGTGTCCACAAGCCAAAGGGTGCAGGCCACATCAGACACTGGGGACAGGGCACAGCGTTCCCCTCAAAGCCCCAGAAGGAGCTCTTGGCCCCTGGGTGAACAGCTGTGGTTCTTTGCTGGGGCTCTGAGCTGTACCTCATCCTGCTCCTAGGGGAGCCCTGCCCCAGGCCCTGAGCTCCCCATACTCCTTCCCCATCGGCTGTGCTTCTGTCCAGCTCTGCTTGTGCCACCTGTGAGCCTGGCAGATCCCAGCTCGCCTGCTGCAGCGCAGACTCTGAAGGCACTGCAAAGCAGCCCTAGCCTTCTTGTCTGTGTGGTGTCCCCGCAGCACCCTAGAGGCATTTACAGTGCAAAACCAGCTGTAACATCCATCTCACACAGGGGGCTGTAGGGGCACAGTTCTTTCAGGTCACTGTGCCACCAATTTCTGTAGCCCTGGCTTGTGGCAGAGGTTGGTATATGACAGGTACTCACTAAGTGCTTCCTGAAGTGATTGGGTAGACATCCCTGTGCATCCTGGAACCCCCAGCCTGGACATGCGGGAGTGCCCTTGGTTAGCAGAATGACGCAGAGACCGGGTGCGTGTGAGGGACCTGCTCCCCACTGTAGCCGCCCAGCCCAGGCCAGCTCACTTGCATGAGGGAGTGCAGGTGGTGAGCACCCCACCACAGGAGGTGTGCAGTCTGGGCTGGGGCTTTTGTTTCACAGCCCATCAACGGTGACAAGCTCTGGGAGGGCTGATGGCTGCCTCTGCTGTTCAAAGGTGGGTGCATAATACCCTGGGAGGCAGCCCCAAGGTGAGGGGCCCTGCCAGCGGTGACAGGGCTCTCAGTGCCTCATGTTGGGACAGGCCTGGCTGCTTCTCAAGTCAGCAGCCACCTGTCCCTCACAGCTCCTCCCTCCCACCCTGCAGCATGGCCACTAGGGCTGGGCACAGGCAGACAGGGCTGTAATCGGCCATCTGCCCTGGGCTGCAGCCTGCACCCTGTCCCTGCCCAGTCCATGCTGGAGCAGCCCGTTTCAGGCAGCAACTGTGGAAAGGCTATGCCAGAGGAGGCTGAGGTGGGCTCACTGTTGGAGATGCAGCTGGGCATGCGGCTGGCCACCTCTGAAGGCCCTGGTTTGAGGCTCCGTGGGTGGTCCCCAGAGGTGGCACGCTGTTGATGGCACCTATGGGGCCAGGGGACATAGGTGGACGCAGATGGCCCTCGGAGTCTTGGTGAGGAAGGCCTGGGGCGAGATAAGGTAGAAGGTGAGGGTCAGGCCCTATGACCTGTTCTGAGAGGGAGACCAAGGTTGATAGGTGGCAGGTCGAAGGCACAAAACAACCTTGTCCATGGGCCCTGAGGCAAATCGAGGGGGCCTAGATGTCCTGGGTGCCGGGCCCCACACAGCCTTATGACCCCATCCTGTCCCTGCAGCTCCTGGGCTCTCCGCCCTGCCCAGGCCCCTTCGAAGACTCAACCCCACATTCCACGCAGCCTGTAGCTTTAAGCTGCCTGCTGGGGCTCTCCTGTGCAAACTGCTTGTTCCACATTCTCGGGGTGGTGGGGAGGGTGGGGTCCTGGCACGCCCATTGGGAGGGCGGCTATAAGGCTCAGGGATGGGGCCCTGCGGGGAGTTGGGGCCTCCTGCTGCTGCTGTATGGCTCTGCTGTTGCTCCTGGGGCTGCTGGGGCTGCTGGGCCTCTGGGGGCTGCTCTGCACCCTAGCCCCAGGCCCCTCCCCAGCCCCACAGTGGCCCCCTGGGCCTCGCCCGCTGCCGCTCTTGGGGAACCTGCCCTTGCTTCGAGCTTCACAACAGGACCGGTGGCTGTTGGAGGTAGGGGCAGCCCCTCCATGCAGCCCCCACAGCCTCTGTGGCTGTGTCCCAGCCTGTGTCTGGGGAAGCCAAGCCCCATTTCCACATCCAGCTCAGCATGCTGCTGGCTCACCTGGGGACACAAGAGGACAGAGTAGCCCCTGACCTTGGGAGGAGACAGACCCACTCAACAGGGAGGCAGCCCTGGAAGTGCTGCCCAGGGTCAGTGCCCAGGAGCAGTGGGCCTGGAGGGCTTCCTGGAGGAGGCAGCATTTGAAGGTGGCCTGCAGGAGGAGGGTTTGGGAGCCACGTAGGGAGGCGGGTTCCCCTGGAAGTGTCTGCAACTGGAAAGAACATGCAAGGCTTGGAGGTGTCCTCAGGCAAGTGGGGTGCCCATGGGGTGACTACCCCTGTGGCTGGAAAAAGTCCTCAGCCCATTGAGGGGAGTGCTGGCTCTGTGAGGCTGGACCAGCTCTATCGCCTCCACACCTGCCCCAGGACCCTGGCCAGAGATCAGCCAATGCCACCCCACTCCCAGCTCCTGGGACACCCCCACCCAAAAGGCTCCTATTTTCAGGGCTGCCTGGTGCCCCTTCCTAGGATAAGATGCACTGGGCTCCCCAGGGCTGGGCCCCAGCCCCTCTGGTCTTGGGCAGGGGCTGGCCCAGCTGGGGCTCAGTGTTTTCGAAGCAAGTAGCTCACTTCCTACTGAGAATTTGAATTCCTGAACTGGGGATTTAGCTCAGTGGTTCTGCCGCCTACCTCACAAGCACAAGGTCCTGAGTGTGATCCCGGGAACAACCCCCCCCCCAAAAAAAAACCCCAAAATTTGAATTCCTGTCCTTAGGATGGGACAGGGAGAGGCGGGCAGGAAGGCACCCTGCACTCTTCTGTGTCCTCACTGGGTCACAGGTCAGCGAGTCAGGACTGACCACCAGAACTGCCTCTGTCCATCTGTCCTTTGCTGTGGTTTGAGGGAGCCACTGGCCAAGCTGAGGCCCAGGGAGGGTTGGAGCCTGGGCTCCTGAGTTTGCCACTCCCCTGTCTGGTCTCGGGGCCCAAGCTGCGAATAACCCATGCTGGCTGCGCCCAGCATAGAATGGTGCCTCCTGCCAGAGGAGACTGGGAGGGGCTCCATGGGGTCCTGGAGTGGGGGTTCCTGACCTATGCTGTGCCCTACCCCCACCCCCCTGTTCTGCCAGCTCTCAGAACGCTATGGGCCAATTTTCACGGTTCACCTGGGAGGCCAGAAGACCATAGTGCTGTCGGGCTACAAGGCTGTGTGGGAGGCCCTGGTGGGCACCAGGCAGGAGCTGGCGGACAGGCCCCCCATCCCCATCTTTCAGCTCATCCAGCAAGGCGGGGGTAGGTGTGGAGGGCTCCTGGGCAGCACCTGGGAGGGACAGGCTGAGGCCAGCCCAGATCAGGAGGGCACTGGGTGTGAGGAGCCCAGCTGCTTCCCGCTGAATCACTGGGGTGGGGCAGGCTCAACCAAGTCTCTGCATCTTCGGCTGCAGGCATCTTCTTCTCCTCTGGGGTGCGCTGGCGGGCCACCCGCAGGTTCACTGTGCGCGTGCTGCACAGCCTGGGTGTGGGGCAGGGCCCCATGGCCCACAAAGTGCTGCAGGAGCTTGCGAGTCTCACAGGGAAGCTGGATGGCTGCGGAGGTGAGCTGGGGCTGGATATGCCTGCCTGGGGCCTCCGTCCTGAGCCCTGTTTCCTCAAAGCCAGCCCTTCCCGATGGCCCCAAAGGTCCCCCACCTGCCTGAGCCCTGTCTCCCCACAGGCCGGCCCTTCCCGCTGGCCCTGCTGGGCTGGGCTCCCTCCAACATCACATTCACGCTCCTCTTCGGCCAGCGGTTTGATTACGAGGACCCTGTGTTCCAGTCCCTGCTAGGTCTGATTGACGAGGTCATGGTTCTCTTGGGGTCACCCAGCCTACAGGTGAGAGGTTGCTGCCCTGCTGGGAGCTGAGGCCCACAGAGTCCTTGGTCTCGGGCAGCATCCATGTGGCCCCTGCTGGTGTGTGATCTCTGAGAAATGGGGTCAAGCCTAGGCCCCTGTTAGCAGCAGATGTACCTGCTCAAAGATGGGGGCAGGGCCAGGGTTTCCTGCCCAGGACTGTGGCCCTGCATCCCCCAGGCCCCTCCAGCCAGGCTATCATGGATCTGTCACCACACCACAGAATCACTCCGATCATTCTTCTGATGTCCAGGAGCCTGGGGGTGTACATCCCATCTCGTTCTTCACCAAAGTTTAAAGACTCTGTACTTCTGGTCGCTGCCATTTCTTTTTACTAAGACCTGCATGGTAGTAGGCTGTCCCCAGAAGTGACAGCTGGGCTCAGCTCAGGTGTCCTTTGTCACCACTCTCCCTGGCACAAAGCCCTGTGAGGAGAGGCAAGTGTGGTATGGTTTAGGGAACAGTAAGGGACAAGTCTTTGGGCTTCCTGTCTTTGAGCCACTGCCCTCAGACAGGTCCTGCTCCTCGCGAGTCTAGGGCCAACCACCTGGCTCTGTGTGTCCCTGCTGGGCAGCCCAGGCAGTGGGTAGTCCCTGGTCTTCCCTGCCTGTGCCAGCTCCACACCTTGGGGGCCACGTGGGATTTTCCACCTGTGGGTGTTGATGCCCTGGGGAGGGAAGTGTCCTGCACCTCTGAGCCCATCTGCTGTGAGCCCACAGCATCTTCTCTGACTCAGGCCCATGGGGTCACTTCCACGTGGCACTTGCTCCTCTGCCATCCTCCTCTCTTTGGAAAGGGGCATGAGTATGGGCAGCCTTTCTGGATCTGCACACAGCCACCCCTGCGTACTACCATCCAACGGCTCCTTTCTGCACGTGATGGGGCTTCCTGAGTCCCTGGGTGCCCAGAAGGGCAGTAAGCGCCCTCTTGCGGCCATAGGCAGCACCTGCCCTGGCACAGCTGTCCGGAAGTCCAGCAGCCTCCCTCAACCAACCCCTCTGACCCCAGCTGTTCAACATCTATCCACGGCTGGGGGCCTTGCTTGGTCTGCACCGGCCTGTCCTGTGCAAGATCGAAAAGGTACGAGCCATCCTGAAGACAATCCTGGATGTGCATCGGTGCCCCATACCCAGGGATGGCCCCGTGCAGAGCTATGTGGATGCCCTGATCCAGCAGGGTCAGATGCGGGTGAGATGGGATTCCTTCTCAGGGGGTAGGGCTGGGAGGGTCCCTGGAGGCCCTGGATGGAGCTCCTCATTTTCCTCTGGGGCCTCTCTGAGCCTTGGTCTCATCTGTGAAGTGGGACACTGGGCAGATGCTGGGTCTGTCTGTTCTTGCCCGGCCTGTCTTCTGTCCCAACCCCAGGGTCAGGCTGTGTGGATGGTTTGGAGAAAGGGCCCCCAGACCTCCCATCTGAGCCCCATGGCCTGCTTCACAGGGGGACGACCACCAGGGCCTGTTTGCCGAGGCCAATGCTGTGGCCTGCACTCTGGACATGCTCATGGCTGGCACTGAGACCACCTCAGCTACACTGCAGTGGGCGGCCCTCCTGATGGCCAAGCACCCGGATATTCAGGGTGAGGCCCAGCCTAGTTGGGTGGGACCTGAGGGTGAAGGGATGGCCCCTAGTGACATGGCACCCACCTTTGGCACAGGCCGTGTACAGGTGGAGCTAGACCGCGTACTGGGTGCCGGGCGGCTCCCACAGCCTGAGGACCAACAGCAGCTGCCCTACACCAGCGCAGTGCTGCATGAGGTCCAGCGCTACATCACACTGCTGCCCCATGTGCCCCGCTGCACAGCTACTGACACCCGGCTAGGTGGCTACCTGCTCCCCAAGGTGGGCCTGCAGGCCTCTCTCCTTCCATGGCGGACAAGGTCTGGGCTCCTCGGGAGGAGGCAGGAAAGGGGCTGGTCACTAAATTGTATGCCTGCTGGGGTGTCAGAGCCAAATCAGAGTCTCTTGCTCTGTCCTGGGGTCCCTACCTGTGTCCTGAGGGTCCCTCCTGAGTCTAAGAGCCTCACCTGAGGAGTGACACCTCTGTGCCCACAGGGCACGCCTGTAATCCCCTTGCTGACCTCGGTACTGCTGGACAAGACCCAGTGGGCAACCCCTGGCCAGTTCAACCCGGGGCACTTCCTGGATGTGAATGGGCACTTTCTGAAGCGGTCGGCCTTCCTGCCTTTCTCTGCAGGTACCATGGCCCTGGTGGGCAGTCAGAGGCCACAGGCACCCCGATCACTCCTACCCTACAATCACTCCTACTCTGCAGGGCATCCCCTTCCCCCTCCAGGACAGGGCCAGTGCCCCACATGGTACTTCGGTTTCCCCTAGGCCGCCGTGTCTGCGTTGGAGAGAGCCTGGCCAGGACCGAGCTCTTCCTGCTGCTGGCTGGCTTGCTTCAGCGTTACCACCTGCGGCCCCCGCCTGGCATCAGTCCTGCTGCCCTGGACACCACGCCTGCCCTGGCCTTCACCATGCGGCCCCGGGCCCAGGTCCTGCGTGTGGTCCCTCGGCACAAGGATGCTCCGCCAGGTGACACCTGCCTGGCCCACAGCACAGGGGTGCCTGAGAGCAATGGGGCAGCAGCAGTCCCCTGAGGATGTGCGGCAGGTGGACCCATGGCACCCATAGTCACAAAGGGCCAGGCATCCAGGACCCGGCTTCTATGTGCAGATCACGTCCACTGTGGGCAGGAACAGGGCCCTTGTCAGGGTGCCACAGGAGGGAACATGAACCCTCACGGCCCCAGTCTGCCTCCACCAAAGTCCCAGGCTCCCTCCCAGCCTCCTGCATCCCAGTACCACAGACTCTCCTTTACTCTTGGCCCCGGGCAGCTAAGCCCCCATTGCAGACTGGTCATGCCCCTTTGGTGCTCCCCTCACCTGACCTCCGACACCGGGAGGCCTCACACTGCCCCCATGCCTGCTGACACCTCATATGCAGTGCCCCACATCCCCCAGGGCCCCATATCACCCCCTAGCCAGGGGCAGTGTCTGCCAGATGGCCCCATACCTGCAGTAGGTGGTGCCTGGGCCCAGGGGCACCACGTAACATAGACCAGTCTGGGCTGGTATCACTAGCTCTCACCTTGCACCAACCAGGCCTGTAGACCTGGCTGGTTCTCCTGTAGATGCCCTGTTCCGGGGGTCCTGGGGGGGCAGTGGTTGGAGGCCTCTGCTGTACCACCAAATGGTACCCTTGGTCCTCCCAACTAGTATGCTTCCCAAGATGGGTGCCGGAGCTGGAGGGCCCTGGTCTGCCCCAGTGTGCTGGGGACCTGGAGCCTGGACCTCAGTTTACCCATCTGTGAAACATCACAATAGCCGCAGGACCAGTGAGCTTCGCTGGGAGATGTGGGGTTGAGGCAACCCAGGCTGAGACACCAGAATCCCAGGGGCCAGCAGGGAACCAGGGGTGCCCACAGGAAGGGTGGCTGTGCTGGGGAAGAGAAGCCCCCTGGGGCCTCGAAGGGCACACAGGGAACAAAAAGGCCACTGGCAAGTCCTTCAGCTCCACTACACCTATGCCCAGGGAGGTCAGAGATGCCCAGTCAGGGCAGCCACCAGCAGAAGGACCAGCTGCTCAGGGCCCCCATGGGTGACAGTGTCTGGAGTTTGTGGGAGGAGGCTGGCCCTCCCCTGCCACCCACCAACCTGAAAGTACCCTGGCACAGTTGGGAAACTGAGGCACCAAAATGCACAAAGTCCAGTGAGGGTTCCACTCTCCCCACTTCCATGACACACTGAAGCCTAGAGGGCAGGACCTGGGGCTTGGTGGTACCCACTGCCCGCCAGGCTCCATGTCCTCCTGGGTAGGCTGTGTTTGGTTTCCAACCCATCCTATGAGGTAGTTTGCTGACCTCTGTTCTCACTCTGGTGGAGGCACAGACACCTGGGTGGCCCCCAAAGCTCTCAGAGACTACTCTGGGGTAGGGTTCTCCAGGGTGGGCTTCTGCAGGTCACACACATACAGGTTATCTGTCTGGCACTCAGATGTAGTGGGGGCTCTGTGTGGCAACTGGCAGCAGTTCATACCAGCCTCTATTTGGGCTGTTGTCCTGAGGTGAAGTCACAAGCAGGAAAACAGCATCCCACACAGATCGGAGGGGGCACCTGCAGAGCCCTGTGGCAACACTGCCAAGGAAGGTGCAGCCCCAGCTGGCCTAGTGCAGGCAGGTGCCAGTGGGTTATCCCCAAACTAAACGCACCAAGACACAGGCAGAAGGTGATGGGATCCACAAGACACAAAGGAGGGGAAATAGTTTTAAGGAATCAAGAGTCAGTGGATCTGGAACCATACCTCTGGGTTTCCTCAGGACACTAGGAAGGTGCAGGGCTCCTCACCTCCTGTCCCCCAGGGCCACTACACACACATCAGCACCTGTGTGTGCCATCATGATCCCAGCTGTGCTGTGGGGAGAGGGAGGGCCAAATACTGCAAGGAGCCGTGCCCTGTCCACAGCAGGATGGGGTTGGGGGCACAGATGATATGACCCTCAGGTTTCTCCCAGCCCAGAGTCCAGGATCTGTGGTGACAGATGGCAAGAGGAGTGGCCAGCAAGGGACATGCGCAGGGCCCGTGGCTGGGTGTTTAAGGTGATTAAACCTGAAGTCACAGAAGCATCTAGGGTCACAGGCTAAGGCTGAGCACACCACTTGCAGATGAGGCCTGGCTAGGGGGGTAATGGCCACAGGAAGTCAGGACCCTTGGCCTGGGACAATGCCTGTCTTCTGTTTGAGTTGTGACCAGCAACAGCACTGCAGTCCTAACCCTAACCTGACTCTCCCCCTCTGCCATCTGGGCAGGCAGGAAGCTTTCTACCTGGGTGGCCCAGCCCAGAGGTGCTGGCTGCCCTCAGGCCCTGAGGCCTCCTAAAGGCAGCCCGGCTTCAGCCTCACCCTCTTGGCTCGGGCCAGCACCCTCCCATCACTAGCAGCTGCCCCACAGCCACCTGGGCTGGGTCGGCACGTCTGTCACTTAGAGCTCCAGCAGTGGAGACTCACGATCTGCTGGGAACCTGCAGACGCCTCGTTTCATGTAGAGTGTGTGTCCTAGCTGGGACGGTCACCAAACACCCAGAGAAGAGGCTGACGTAGCGGTCAATCAGCACTGACCACTGGGAGTGTCACATATGGAGCTCGGATGCCAGAGCAGGATGCCGTCCTGGGGAGGTGCTGTTAAGGACAGCATGGGGCCTGGGCATGCTCACCTCAAGAAGGATGCCAGATCCACATCTGACAAGAGGGTAGACACACAAAACGAGAACACAGCTGCTTGTTTTTATTGACGAGGTGGCCACACAGCAGGGGCAGAGAGCAGCCCCTGTGGAGTTTCCTTGCACCTGTCCCCAACTTGGGCCACACCCTACTCCAACTCTGAGGAGCCGCAGTTGGCAGGGGACGAGCACTGGCAAGTTTCTAAGACATCCCGGGTAGAAAAACAGAAAAGTGTGACAGCAACTTCCTGGGTGCAGGGTGAGTCTGGTGATCCCTCTGAAGGCACAATGACTCACTGTCACGAAGGGGAGGGACATGGCCTGACCTGGTCCTGTTGAATCCTGTGCATCTGAGGGCCCAGAATACTGGGTGGCAGTGTCCCGCTAGGACAGCAGCTGCAGCACCTGGCGCAGACGCAGGGCCCTCTCCTGCAGGGCAGCATCTGATACCCCCACATCCAGCTCCTGCATCAGAGCTTCTGCCTTTTGCAGGGTCAGCTTGCGGGCCTTGCCCTGCAGCCCCTCCAGGTAGGCCAGCAGGGTGGGGAAGTGCTCTTCTGGGACCTGGGAGGAGGAAGAGGGTAGTGTCAGGGAGCACAGGGGCTCCAGCAGTGGAGGGACGAGGTGTGTGCTCCGTCTCTGACACCCTAGTCTTCACCCCATTAGGACTGACCTGGATGTCCCCCTAAACAGGCATGTCCTCAGAGATGGGCCTTTTGGAAGGTGATTTGATTATGGGGGTTTAGAGTGGACTTGCTGTTAAAAGGTAGGGTCTGGTTGGAAGAAGCGAGTCACTGGAGGTGTGGCCTAGACGGGTTTAGAGATCCCTCCCCAGCTCCTTTCCTCTCGCTGCTCCCCTGCCATCATGCCATGAGGAGCTTCTGCTCTGCCATGCCCTTCTGTCATGCAGTCCTGCCCTGGAGATATGGACTGACCTCTGCAAACTGTGAGCCAAAATACACCCCCCAAAAACCCCCAAACCCCAAAATAAAAACAAAAAGCAAAATCACCAGTCCTCTAAGTTGCAGGTGTTAAGTATGGTGTCTCAGCAAGGACGGAAGTGGCTAAGACAACCTCTAGGGCCAGCAGCCCACAGTGTCCTTGTACCATGCAAAGGGCTCCTTGCTCTGTGCAGGCCAAGAGACAGGAACATGGGATAAGGGTCCAAACCCTAGAACAACCTCTTGGCCGCTCCCTCACACATTTACATGCTCTTGTGGGTTAAAAGGGTGAGCCCCCATCGTGCCCCTCGGAAGTGCCACCAAATTCGCAAACAGATGTTTCAAAGAAAGCAGTCTGCTGGGACAAAGAATGGGTGAAGAGACCACTGTGGTGGCATTTTGGGGCCAAAAAGCAGAAGACCTGGAGAGGGCTTAGCAGACCCGAGGAAGAGGCTCAAGCCAGGAATGTGCGAAGTGAAGAGAACCAAATCTCTGTCATTCAGAACCCTGCCCGGCTGCAGGGGTGGCTGAGCCCTCCCTCTAGAAGGATGGGAAAATGGGAGGGAACAGGGTCAGGAGCCCTGTTAAAAGGAAAAGGCAACCCATATGTTTGATTTCCAAGTCTATGTAAGCAACAGTAACCAAGACACCAAGGCCCTGGCAGGTCCTGGCATACGGACAGATTGACAGAAAGGGACAGAACCCAGAATGAAGCCTTTTATCAGGTGATTTCTGACAAGGCTGCTGAAACAGTCCATGGGGGACACGACTGCTACACACACACGGGATACACACATGGGACACACACATACACACACTGAAGCAGGTGGCCTCCAGGTTGCCCTGTCTGCCTGGCCTTCCAGGCTGGAGCCAGCATCCTGGGTAGGCAGGTGTTGCCTCCGTTTCTCTCCATTTCCTGCACCATGCGGGACCATGAAGACAGTGCTTTCCAGTTGTGGCTTCAGCTGGGTATGGACACTGTCCCCTGCCCTAATACCCTACCCCCCTGAGCCTGCTCCCATGGTGTACCGACCTTGTCACTGTCATACATGTTTAGCAGGAGCCAAGTCTGCCTTGTCTTCTGGAACCTCCAGCTCTGGTGCTTCTGGGCCCATCTGGGGAAACCGAGATAGACACCTCAGGGTTGGGGAAAGAATGAGGCTCCCCGAGCAGATTATCCTTCTCCCGTGCTGGACACCGAGGCCATGGAGTCCCAGATGCTTTGTGGGACTGTCCCAGCTGAGGTGAAGCACTATCACTGAGGTGGACATGCCACTTCGGCACGGCATCTACCTAGCCCCAAGGCCTCACATCACCTGCTCTATGGAAACGGAGGGGCTTTAGAAATACTTCCCGTGCCCGATGCCCAGTATGGATCAGAAGTGCTAGGCTTCCTCCCATTTCTCTGAGGAGCCTCTGGCGGCCCCCAGTGACTCTCAGCACCACGTCCCTGGGGAGGCTTCCCTGGGACACTCCCAGGACGCACTTCACCTGGGCTCTAGGCACCGGGGCTCACCATGTTGGTGAGGGTGGGGAGGCAGGTCCTCTCCACAGGCCATCAGCAGTACAGACATCTGTGACTGTGCACCATCCAGCTGCCCCTCAATTGCCCCTCTGACTCCTCTTGGGCTGGCACCCTGGACATCTGTCATCTGGACTTCCTTGACTTGTCATGTTCAGCCAGCAACAAGGCCAGTGGGCTTTTAAACTGGTAACACACATGACATAAAACATGCACCTTACCATCTTCTAGGGTGCAGTTCAGCAGTGTTAAGCACATCTCTATCTGTGTGGTTACCTCCGATGTCTACCCTTCGCCTGTCATCTTCCCAGCTGGAATATGAACCCACCAGGCACAACCTCTGCCCTGCCAATATGCCGCCTGCATCCTGTTAGCCCCACACAGAAGGACACCCAGGCATGTGGCCTCTGTATCCCCCTCTCCCCCAGCATCACATCTCTCATCCCCCTAATCTCTCATTCCCCCATGGGAGAACGAGTCAAAACAGGGAGTGGGCAGGAGGGGAGGGCCATGTATAGCGCTTCCCCTGTGATGGGACAGCACCTCTGATGCAGGTGGAAACAGAACAGCAGCTGTTGGGGGTGGTCAGAAAATCCAGGGAGAAGCCATGAGGGCCAAACCAAGGTTGCCCAGCTGTAACCCTGTCTGCTCAGGAGCTTGCTTAGTCAGCACTGGTCTCCAGACATCTCTCCCCTCAGCAAGGGCAGACCTTTGGAGAAAGGGCTCTTTTGAGGCCACTGCAGGCCCTACTTCCCTTCTATGGAGCTTCCCCGGGTCAGTGGTGGTTGAGGGTACCATGTAAGAACAGGATACCTAGGGGCCCCATGACCCCGGGCCCTCTTGCGGGCACATGTGCAGCTCTTACCCACAGAGATAGTCCAGGGCCAGCTCTGCCCCTGAGCGCTTAGCTGGTGGAGTCTGCACTGCTGAGACCCCTGCCTCGCGCAGATGCTTCTTCTCTTCCTTCTTCCGTTCCTTCTTCAGCTTCCTCTCCAGGACCCTCCTTTCCTCTGGGGACAGCTCAGGGACTGTGTCCTGCACCCGACTCTCTGCCACTCCCTGGAAGTCAAGAACAGCGCCTGTCAGGCTGGGGGACGAGACTCAGGGAGATCATGCTGCAGGTTTCCCAGGCCTTCATCCCATGCCAGGAGGACTGGCCGGGCCTGCACAGGGCACATCTCAGCTGAGACTGGGCCGCAGCACTGGAGACTGTCAAGTGAGGACAGGGACAGGCACTGCGGGAAAGAGAGGCCTTGGGTTTGCTGGACCTGACATGTGTCAGTGAGCTGACTGCATTCCCACACCTCAAGTTCGCCTGCTGCAGATCCTCTTCCAGGCCTTTGGGGGCCCTATGCCTCACCAGCTACAGTCAGGGATGGCTGTCATCCAGCCTGTCCAGCCCCTTCTCCAATGAGCCTGGTGCTGTTACTGCATGCAGCCAGCAGAAGGCAGCATTCCTGAGACCGACTCCTGCTGCCTACTCCTTTCTGGCCAGTGGGGCGGGGCACACTGGTGGCTGGCAGGGTCTTTCCCCACAAGGGGTCCTCGTGATGACAACCTCACAAGGAGGGGAGTGGCCAGGATAGCCTCTGGTCTCCTGTAGTACTGTCTCCCAGCCACAGCACCAGGAAGGCTAGTCCCCCCTCCTTCTGCTCCCCCATGAGCAAATAAGAGGCACAGAATCCAAGAGCACCAAGTGGCCGTTGGGCTGCTCTGGTTGGGAGAGGGGCTGAGACTATTCCAGCAGCCATCCACCCACTTCTTTCCCGGAAAAACCAGAACACCAGTATTTACTGTGACCTAGGCCAGAAACTTGATGTGCTCCACCCCAGCACTTCCAGGAAGGGCGAGCACCTATGCAGCCAGGTTCTCTGAGCCCTGGCCCAGGACAAAAAATAAGAGGCCCGGGGCAGGGGCGAGTCTCTCATCCTGGCAGGTTCCCTGAGAACATCCACTCCCAGGATGCCTCTGCCTGCAGCTCCTTCCCTTCAAAGAGGGCTCTTCTGGCACCCGTGCAGGACCCTTGAATGTACTGTAGGGGAGGAGGGGCCAGGGTGCCCAAGGGGGCCTCTGGATGCTGAGGGGCAAGGAGAGGAGCATGAGAAGGGGTAACAATCCCCTGGGAAGTCTGCCTCCTCCACCAGCTCCTTTCCCATACCCTGAGGGAGGCCAGCAGGCAGGAAAGGGGTCTGAAGAGATGAGGAAGGGTGGGGAGTACCTGCCTCCTCCCATGAAATGACTTTTCAGCACCCCCAAGCCCAGTGCCCCTGCCTCTGATCCTAGGGGTAGGGGCCAGAGGGGTCTGGTCACACCGCAGGGGTGATCTGACTACTCTCCAGGGACGTCTGGGCACTACAGGCCCAGGTGCCGCCAGGAAGGACATCCACATCTACTCGGGATCTGGATAGCCAGAGAGGCAGGTGGGCAAAGTCCCTGTGAGGAGCCACAGGAAGGGATGCCAGAGGGCAAGGGCAAGGGTAAGACTGAGACTGAGGGGCGGAAGCAGTGTGCTCTGAGCCTGGAGCAGGACTAGGTTGGACAGGGGGGGCCCAGGCCACCCACATGGGGTATCGGGAAGGGGACTTAGGTCTGTTCCTCTCAGGGTTATGGAGAGCCCAGAATGCAGGGCACACTGTGCATTAGGCACATGGTCTGGAAGCTGGAGTAGCTCCCTCCTTCAAACAAACCATGTTTTGGGCTTCTGGTAACCTGACACAGGCAGTGGTCAGTGCCCAGGCTCCTGCCCAAGGAAGCTAAGTATACCCCAAGAAGAGGCATGCCCGAGGGCCACACCAAGGGCACAGCCAGTGAATCTGATTTGGTGGGAACCACTGAATAATAAATCCCGCCTTTCCCAGTTAAAAAGGGTGTGTCTTGCTGTGTGTGAACTATGTGAGGGCCATATGGGCAGACAATGACCCTGTACCCTACTTCTGCAGCCTGCCAGGGGGTGGGTACAGCTGTTGCACCATCCCCTCTGCCTGCCACATGTGGGCACTGCCTCCTTCTGGTCCTCTTCAAAGGAAAGGGACTTGGTCCTGCCAGCTGTGGTCCACTTGCACTCCACGAGGTCCCTGAAAGGGGGAGGGACTGCCACTCTGAGTAAGTGGCCATGGTCCAGGTTGCCAGGCTGCAAAGGCAAATGCTTCTGCCCCGAGGGCAGCAGTAAGGCCCCACTCAGGGCTGAGGGGTTCTGTGGAAGCGCTGGCATGGAGAGTGCCCACTGTGGTGTCAGGACTGACTGGCCCAGTATGTCCGAGGCTCTAGATGCACTAGACGAGTGGATCAACACTAACAGAGGAACAGGACTCTCCAGCCTGGACACCAGATACAAGCTGTCCTTAGGCCATAGTGGCACTAGGTAGCCAGGTTGCTTTAGAACAGTGGCCTCAGCTCTCTGGCTGCTGCGGGCTGAGATGAGGACCCCCTGCTGGCAGGGCAGATTGGGGACAGATACTCTTGCCACATCACCACCTCCATGAAAACATGTCCAACTGTCCTGAAGTGGACTTGATGTGGAGTCTCACTTTTCCTGAGTCAGTGGTCACGTGAACTCGAAAAGCCAAATCCAGGGCCAGGGATTTAGCTCAGTGGTTTTGCCGCCTGCTATGCAAGCACAAGGACCCGAGTTTGATCCCCATACCAAAAAAAATCCAAATCCTGCTGGGTGTGGTGTCACACCTGTAATCCCGGCTACTTGGGAGGCTGAGGCATGAGGATCACCACCAAGTTCAAGACCAACAACTTAGTGAGTTAGAGAGATACTGTCTCAAAATACAAAATGGGCTTGGGATGTAGCTCAGTACAAAGCCCTTGGGTTCAATCCTCAGTGTAATCAATCAACCAGTCAATAAATATTAAAAAGGGCTGGGGGTGCAGCTTAGTACAAAGGCCCTGGGTTTATACTCCAGCACTGGGGGCAAAGTGGGAGGAACCCAAACTTGTGTTTCCTAACTTGGCCTTGCCTGAGGGACAGGGGAGGCATGTGCCTGCCATGTGCCCATGGGCTCCTGGCTCTGCTGTGTACACTGGGCAGCCTGATGCTCATGGCCTGGACAAGGGGACCCACATGGCTACTGCCATGATGTAGGTGATTTCAGCTACTCTGAGGGGACAGGTGAGTGACAGTGGGTCATGTGTGTGAGGAGGGTGGTGGGCAGCTGCTGGAGGCTGAGGGACAGAGCCACAGATCAGGGGCTGCTGTCACCAAGAGGCAGGTACTGTCCCACCTCCCCAGAGACCCAGCTTCCTCTAGCCCCCAGGGCCACATACATAGGAGGAGGTCTCAACTTAGTAAATGACACTGTTGATGTACTTGCCACCTTCCAGTGGACCTGGTGATGTGATCGCATTTTGGGTTTGCAAACAGCCTGAATTAACATAAAAAAAACTGTAAAAGGAATGTAAACCTCTAGTGAAGCCTGTGAGGGCCCCCATTCTGGGGGTGACTTCTTGGGGAAAGGTAGGTCTAAGAACACTACACCTGGGTCATGTGGGCAGCCTTCTGCCTGCCCGAGGTATGGACACCAGGCTGTCCAGAGAGCTCTGCTAGATCCCACAGGCCAGGGTGGTTTTCCACAGCATGGGCAGCTCTGGACTGAAGCCACATAAGCAAGATGAGGTACAGCAGGGGCCTCTGACCATGGCCTCAGTGTCACCACTGATCTCAGTGCTGTTAGTTTCTGGTGCTCTGGGTTTGATGAAAAAGAGAAGTGACATGAAAACCAAAATTTTAGAAATCATTTTCTCCGCCACAGATAGACGTCCTTGGGATTACACTTCAAATGCAGAAAACAATTTGACATGCACAGGGGACCTCAGGCCAGACACCCACCCCAGCTGATAGTTCAGGGGTCCTGGGATGCCGGCTGGGACCTCAGCCTCTATAGTGGGGGTCTGACTGCTTCACAACACAGATGCTGTCATATACTGTACAGTGTCAGGTGATGTAGCACATAGGTGATTAAAAATGCATTTCAGGGATGGGGATTTAGCTCAGTGGTTTCACCGCCTGCCTCGAAAGTGCAAGGACCTGAGTTCAATCCCCGGTACGAAAAAAAAAAAAAGCATTTCAAAATGAAACCTACATCAGGCCTGGGATTTAGCTCAGCAATGCTGCCGCCTGCCTTGCAACTGCAAAGTCCTGAGTTTGATCCCCGGTACCAAAAAAACCCCCAAAACAAAATGAAACCTTTATCAACAGTACATTAAAAATTCTGACTATAAGCAGTAAGAGCACTGAATATGAACCAGGAAACCAAAGCTGCACCCTGGGAAGAGCAGTCGGTGAACCAGAAAGGAACATGGTGACCAAACTCCCAGAAAAGTTAGTTCTGAGAAAACAGCACACAGCCTGTGCTTGTGTAGCATGTGAACCATCTCTCCCTCAGTCCTGGAGCTCCTGGCAAGAGAAATTGGCCTAATTTCACTTGAAAAGGTTCCCATGCAAGCAACTCAGGCAGAAAACCTCAGGCATGATTTCCAAGGAGCCGATCTGAACAAGTACAGGCTGTCATTTGGGGAACTGGGAGGTGCCATCTATGTGTCCCACAGTGTGACAAGGACACCTAGACACGCAATGGCTGTGTCCTGCTCCTATGGGCATCAGGCAGGGTGCATCCAGTCACACCCGCTCAGAGCAGCAGGTGACGAGAACCTCGGTGGCTCCTCAGGCATTTTCCTCCCTCTGGTGAATATTCCAGCCCACAGACAAGCTCCGCAGTAACATGGGGGCTGGGCAGTAGCTGGACTGCCAACCATCATTCCTGTGATTTTTCCTTGAGGGACAACAGCGAACCTAAGTGTGCAGAGAACAATGGGAAGGCAGGAGGACGCTGGCCAGGGCAGGTAGGCTGGGTCTCACTCAGTAGACCCTGCCACTGGCCCATCCCCCACTTCTGCCCTACTGTTGGGGCTGGGCTGGGCCGTGCAGCAGGAACGCCCCCCCCCCCCCATCGCCAGGGATGGGGAAGCTGGTGGCCTTGTCCAGGCAGATTTGGTGTGGGGGTGTGCTGCTGAGCAGGGCTGGCCAGGCTGCTGTGGGGACTGAGAAAGGCCCTGGAGAGACAGATTCTGATTCTGCCCACACCCTACCATCCCAGAAACAGCCTCAAAGGCTGAGGCTGAGGTCAAGGTTGCTCTGGCCTCAGGGAAGTGTTTGTCTGTTTTTTTTCCAGTACTAAGGATTGAACTCAGGGGTGCTCTCACACACTGAGGTACATTCTCAGCCCTTTTAATTTTTTATTCTGGGACAGAATAAATTGCCCAGGCTGGGCAGTTGCTAAACTGCTGAAATGCTCAGGCTGGCCTTGAATTTGCAATCTTAGCTGGAATTACATGCATGTGCCATCTTGCCTGTCTAGAGAACGTCATCTTTCCATGCCAGGCATTGTGGCGCACACCTGTAACGGCAGCAAGGGGGAGGCTGAGACAGGAGGATCACTGCAAGTTCAAGGCCAGCCTGAACTTAGTGAGATCCTGTCTCAGTACCTCCCACCCTCAATTCATCTTTCTAGCAGAACTCATCCTCTTCCTGTCCAGTTCCAGGGGGCAGAGATTTTTATCTAGGAACGGCAGGCTGGCTGGGAGGATCAAAACCAGAGCTACATGGACTCCGCACTTCCCCAGCCCTTTCGGGAAGGCACCTGGATGGGGGGACACTTCCTACCAAGGGCCCCGAGCTTACTCTGCTGATGTCTCAGTGCCCACATTGGCACAGCCAAGGGCAGTGCTGAGCTGAGCACCCAGCAGCCTGACCCAGGGATAAGTGCAAGGGACAATGGCATTCCATACAGGATACTTTGTAGCTCCAGGCTCTGCCTTTGGGGCTCTGGAGGTACCAGCTGTGCCCCAGAGTGGGCAACAATCACGAATGGGCACATAGAAGTTGGTGTCCCTAGGTAAGGGACAGGCATGGCAGGGGGAGGGGGTACTGGAGACAGATGTCAGCCTTCTGAGCACCCAGATGCTGGGTCATGACCCACATGATGTAGGTAGGACCTCAGAGGTGTGGCTGACTCCCTGCCATGTCCACTCAGAGATCCACACCCTCTGTCTCAACAGGGAGCTCAACTTCCACCTGAATGGCCAGGGCCCCTAGCTGACCTTGCCTCCCCACATGTAGATAGAGACCCTGAGTTCTGCGCCTGCTGCCACAGATGAACTCTGTGGTGTTTACACAGAGCCCTGACAACTTCTGGTCTGCAAAGCTCATATTCCATGCCCACACCATACTTAAGAGTCCACACTGAGGGCATCTGCAGAGAAGACATGCTTCATGTTCCCTTCTCTGGAACACTGCCTTAGGCAGCCCTGTGAGCCCCAGACTGAGATCCTGCCCAATGCACTCTCCCACAGGATCTGTGTGAGGGTCTGTTTTCGAGCTGGACATCCTGGTATCTGGGCTTTTTGCCAAGTGAGAGACGAGGTGTGGCACTCTCCATGTCATGCCGTGGTGCATGGGAGTGTGCAGGGGAGGGAGCACAGGCCATGTTAGGGCCCCGTCCCTTCCACCCATGGTTCCCAGCCACTTCTTTGCATGTTTAGTGGAGAGTATAAGGTGCCCTGGCTGAAGCCTTCTGGCTGCTCTGAAGCCCTGCATCTATAGGGAAGCACACAGGGCTGGGGTACACTAGGCCCAGGCTGTGGGAAGGCAGCAAGCCCTGGCCTCCTGCCACAGATTAGGCTCCCAGGGGGTCAACAGAAGCTTTGTGTGTATGGAAGGAGAGCCACTGAGAAGGCAGAGAAAGGGCCCATTGTCCTTCCCAGAGCCCCCAGGAGTGAAACACACTCTCTTCTGAGCAGAGTGGAGGGAAGGGAAGCCACCAGGCCCAGGATGTGAAGTCCTGGCCCGCCAGGTGAAGGAGCTGCTGGGCCTGGCCTTCGTCCAGTGGATTTGTGGGGACTGTGTGGGTGGGGAGACACAGGAAGGGCCTGCTGTTTGGGCCGTATCAGCCCACAGTCCCTGTGTGGGGTTTTGAGTGTCCACTCGTCAGGCGCCTTGGTGAAGCATCCTTGGAATGACAGAGGGTGGCAGAGAATGCCACAACCAGGAATTCAGGCTGTGGCAGTGGACTGGGATAAATCCCTTAGTCGCCTCCAGTTTCTGCTCAGACAACAGGACCCCTAGAGGCAGGGCTTCTAGCAACAGCAGGGAGAACTCTGTGAGACCTTGTGTGGAAGCCCAGGTGGGTGCTCAGTTGCTGGGGGCAGCGCTGGGCAAAGTGGCAGGGGCTTCTCCTTCCCACAACCGGCAGGTACCAACCCCACCCAGCCATCACAGGGCCTTCTCCCTCAGCACTTCTAGGGGCTGCCTGCCTCCACCTACAACATCCCTCCTGATGCCTAGGATTCTCCAACCAGTCAGAGAAGCTGCAATGGGGCAGGAACAGGCCGTCTCTTTCCTCCTGGAGGCCTCTTTCTTGCCCTAGACTTGCCGGTAGGGATAACTGGTCTCATGTGGAAAGAAAAAGCAGATGGAGAATACAATTAACGAAGAACTTTTACTGTGACCTCTTCTGTGAAGCCCCATGTCCTGAGCAGGGGGATGTGTAGGAAGCCGAGGTTCCGTCCCCCTTCTGGGCCACGCCTGAGCTCAGGAACACTGGATGGGGATAGTTGAGGAGGCAGGCTTGCACACTGGCTCACTGTATGCAGGGGCTTTGGGTGTGCTGCTGAGAGAATGGGAGAAAGAGTAGGGATCCCAGAAGTCCTTGGGGGAAGCCATGTGCCAGACAGATCCTGACTCACGGGGTGGGGGGACAGCACAGCGCTCCCTCCCCCACCCCGGGAAAGTGTTCACCTAAAGCCTGTTCACCACGGTGAGGGGACTGAACTTCAGCAGCAATGGGTTTAAAGACAGTTCAGCTAAGGGTCTGACATGCATCTGTCCAGTGGCCCTACCTCTGTCTCTTAAGTCCAAACTTTGGTGGCGGCCACTAGACTACTGCTTGGACAAAGGGCCTAGAGTGTAGTCAGGACCCTAGGGAGAGCTATCAGGCCTTCAGGCTGGGCACCAACCTGTTCCTAGGGCTGAAGCTGAGCTGTGCGGCTGTGAGTGGGAATGAAGGCTCTTGAAGAATAGTTCGTTACAGCCAGTACTCAGGAGCCTCGCGGGACACAAGCTGCCTCACAGTCAACCAACAACTCTACAGAGTTGGGCTGTAGAGAAGTACTCTACAGTGGGCTGAGAGAAGTACATTAATGACTGCAGTCAGCCAAGTCCACGATGTAAGCTTGGCCTTCCTGGGCGACAGGGAGCTGGGGCACAGAGGCCCTCATCTTCCTCTCCATCTGGGAGGACAGCCTGGGTCACACCCAACCATTTAGAGGACAGAGGTGTCTCACCAATGGCACAATACAGAGCTCAGGTACAGCACCTAGGCCTTGATCTTGTGACTCAACCTGAATCTTGCCCTGGAGGCCCTGGGCAGTCATCAGTCATCCCCAACACACTGGGACCTGTGCATCAGCACCAAGGGCATTGTGGTGATCATGTACAAGTGACCCAGGTGACAGCTACTCTAAGAGGGGAGAACAGGAGCCCTGCCTGGGACCAAGGCAGTTGATGTCCTCTTTGTAAGCTGGTACCAGTGACTATAACAGTGCAGACAACTCACGTCTTAAGCAGCTTGTCCCCCTGCACTCACAACACTCCCAAGACTATAAAGCTCTTTTCCTCCTACCTCCCACACAGTCCACGCACAATTTGGAAGTGACGGGCTAACCACTTGTTCCTTGAATAGGTGGCACCATCAGAGGCTGTCCCAGTTTATATAAAGGGTGACTGAAAAATCTGGTGAATCCTTGTTTTAAAAAAGCCTAGTACAGTAAAGACACATTGCCATTATTCTCCCACTAAGTACCCCCTGAACACACTAATCCCATCATTCCTGCCACTTTCTGAAGCAGTTCTGGAAGTCTTCTTCCTTAAGTGTCTTTAGTTGTGCTGTTGTGGCTGCCTTGATGTCCTCAATGATTGAAAATGTTTTTCTTTTATGGCCATTTTGACTTTGAGAAACAGAAGTTACATGGTGCCAGATCCGATAAATAAAATGAGTAAGGACAAACCTTCATATTTACATGAGCCTGCCTTCCCACTGGACGGCACTGGCAGCAGCACTGACTGTATTTTTATCACACCTCATAAAGGCACTCATGAACAAGGACTTCCAGAATTGCTCTGGAAAGTGGCAAGAAGGACAGGATAAGTGTGTCTGAAGCAAGAGAGAGTATTTTGAGGGGGATTAATGGCAATGTGTCTTTTACCATAATACATTTTCTAAGCATTCACCAAATTTTTGATCACCTCTTCTAGACCCAAAACCGTATTACACCAATTTTTAACACTTTAAGAGGGTAGCGCATAAACTCTTTTCCTGAAAAGCAATGAAGAACAAAAAGGAGACTTTAAAAAATTAAGCGTTTTATTGAGACAATTATAGAAGCACAAGTGGGTACATAAGGTAATCCAGGGACACCCTATGCCGGGTTCTTCCCATGGTAACATCTGAAGACACACAGCAAGACCCTGTCCGAGGATCCTGCCTGAGACCAGGTCCATGATCGTGGGGGTCATGGGGTCTTTTTAATGAAGAGACATACACAGCAGACTCGGTCAGAATTATTACATGAAATATGCACATCTCTAAATTCTTTAAACCCTACTTTGCCCAAATTTCCCAACACAATATCTGACTGGACTAAGATGTGAGTGCTCTCTGGCTCCTTCCTCACCACTGCCTTCCCTCCCATTCTGAGAGATCTTGATCACAAATGGAGCGACTTTGGAGCACCAGTGCAGCAGCCACTCAAGGATGCTGCCATGATGGGCTGCAGGCACAGGGGCTGCAGATGCAGAGGCGGACGCCGGCTCTGTCATCGAGGCGCTCACAAGCAGGCATACGTGAGCTCCTGGAGGACAGGGAGGGCGGCCACCCATCCAGGTCAGCATGGGGGCTTAGGGCCGGCTCTCTTGCCAGAGCCCTGCTGTGACCAATGGGGTGACACTGCCCAGGGACCCCTTCTTGTAATGACATTTCTAAATGCACAAAGCAAGGATGCAGCTTAGGGGAAAAGCACTTGCATAGCATGTGTGAGGCTCTCAGTTCAATCCCCAGTACTGCCAAAAAAACAAAAAACCAAAACCAAAATAACTAAATATATAAAGTAGGAACATGCAGACATACTTGGGTACAAACTGAACTCAGTAGCAGCCCACAAAAAAACACCAGAGCCCCAGTGATATCTGTATTTTGTCAACACGCCAAACGACAAAACCAAATAGCAAGCCTAAGGCTCCGTACCTGGGAAATGCAACTGAGGACAGTGAGATGTTCCCATCTGCAACGGGACAGGAAGCCTCTGTGCTAACATCACTCAGCCTAGGTCCTGCCCAGACCACTGCTGTCTACTGTAGAAAAGAAATGCTCCATGTCCCTTGGATGTAAGTGAAAAGATGTGTTTATTCCATCCAAGCTAAAACTTCCTGACCCAGGTTGAACGTCCACAGTCCCAGCCCAACATCATATAGGACACCCTTGGGAAGCCAGGATCTCCTAGGTGGAGTCTTCCTATGCATTCTAATACTGCAGTCATTTAGCCTCATCCCACCTGGGCCTTGGAGAACAGGCTGAAAGCTGCTGTACCTTCTTTCCAGAAACATACACACATAGTGTCACTGATTCAGATCCTAGAACCTTGCTCCTCATCCTACAGAGAAGAAAATAGAGATTTCAAGGGGGTGAGGCCAGGACAGGGTTCTTACACACTTTCTTCTTAAAATCCCACTACCTTAGCTGCTGATGGTACCTGCCTCCCAGGCCAGAACTGAGAAATGCACGGTGCCTACCCCCACAACAGAGGCCTCACACGGGGTGAAAGGGCCCAGCAGCACAGCCTCCCACAGCTTCTCAAAACTGCCCATGTTCTGCTGCATGTGTCAGCAGCCCACAACTGTCACAAAACACTAGGAAACCACTGTGGGTGCAAGATGTGACGGCCACAAGCAGCTCTGGTAGCTGCTACCAAATTCCTCCAGGACAGTAGAAAACTTAACTTTTACTCTTGCTCTTCAACCTACAGATTAAACTAAAAAATCTGTGGTGTGAGGCAGTTTGCTAAACGGCAGGCTAAGGGGCAAGGGGCACCAGCAACAAGGTCTCTGGTTTCTACCCCGTCATTACAAATGTCAGACAGCAGAGCCTCCCACCATGAGATGTGTTCCTGCACAGGAGGAAGATAGGGTCTGAGAGAGGGGCATGTTTTATAGATTATATTGGGTTTCTAGAAACAAAGCCCCGAGATTCTCCAAACTTTTTATTGAGCCCATACTTCACCATCTCAACAGGCTGTCCATCCAATTTTCCAACATCATGCACATCAGGCCCCGTCCCTGGGAACTCACGCCTTGGGGTAGAACAGAGGGCATGTGTAGAGAAGGATAAGAACATAGGGTCATACCCCAGGAGGCAGAACAAATGTCCTTTGCTCCTCTGCTTTAGGAGCTAGAGGCTTACAGCCCAAGTAGGTATTCCTTTGCTGTAGCTCAACTCTGGCATGGCCGGGGAAGCCTGCTACTACTTTGGCAGACCCTTAGAGGTTCTAGTAGGGGAGCCCAGCTACTCATATACCCTTGACCGAGGAAATGGTCCTCCTCTATCGGGGGTGGTCGTCCTCTTCGACTGAGTGCACATCTTTGGGAGGGACACACATGGAGCAGTGAGGGAGGAGGGGGAAACCCACCTAGTCAGCCAGATCAGCCGAATCAACCCTGGCGATCAATGGGGTGACAGTGTCGCAGCCAGATCGTCCTCACATCTGGCAGACCCTTGGGTATAGCCACCAGGTGGGCCCCCTAGGTGCAAAGCCTGCACATGGTGCTTCAGACCATGAACTGAGCACATTCCCTGCTGCATAGATTCCCAGGGACAAGCACTAGGTCGGCTGGGCTCCTAGGAAGGCCAACTTCAGAGACAGCAGAAGGATCTGGCAGGTGTGGGGAGTTGACACAGGCCTTGGGGAGAAGACAGGTCAGGGGAGGTGGGAAGGAGGGAGCACTCTTCTTTGGCCATGACTCATAGCATTCTGGAAATCTGCTGTGGGGAGCCCTGCAGTGCAAGGAAAGGGGGTCACAAAAGGGAGGCCTGGGCTAAAGCACTTTGCTATGCTGACCACAGAACACACTGCAATGGAGAGGGGAGGCCAGAAAGGATGGCCTGGCCCTGTCATTATGTGTTTAATAGGACCACTTTTTAGCCTAGGAAGAAGCAAGCTGGTGACAAGCTCATGTGACCTTTACCTCTGGCAGCACTTCTACCTGCAGAGACCACATAAGCTGAGGTCTTGAGAGTTTGCTGGATTTCAGCTAGAACCCACAAAAGTTGCATGGGGCTCTCCTTCTACAGCTTCCACCAGCCAGTGTCTGGCACAAGACGCTACCTAGGCCAGAGGACTCCTTCCTGGCTCTGGTCAAGTGTGCCCACAGCCCCTTCTCTATGGTACTTTAAACTCCTGCAGAGAAGCCACAGGACGACCTCCCAGGGAGATAGCTCTGAAGCAGGCACCTGAACTTTATCTCCAGAGACCACAGACATCTTCCTGCTCTGCCTGTTATCTATGTTGGCCCCCTAACCCCACCCCAACAGCTCCCAGAATTTTGGTGTAGTCCTTGGGAAGATAAACACATCCCTTGGCTTTGGCTCCCCTTTGATAAAGCAGCTTTGTTTACTCCTGTTGGACCACCCGACAGGCTGATTTGATTTCAGGCATATGGAAAGTCTAATAGTGCACAAGTTTCTTGTCATTCCTTTGGTTACTGTGGAGCTAACACAGGCTAGGAGCCCAGCTGCATTCTGCATGGTCGGTCAGTGTATGTGGAATGTCATGGTCATGGCTTTTAGGCACAAGAGCTAAATGGGTTGGAAGGCAAAGGTCACACACAGAGATATGCTTCTGTGTGTTAACAGAAGGCCTCTTTGCTCAGCAGCTCCCTGGCCAAGGTCATTTCCTTCCTAGCTATTAAAATTTGAATCTCCCTTTATCTGTGGAAGCAGATGAGTAACTTGAAATCCAAGCCTGTTTTGTTTTTAAAATGGAAACACAGTCCTAGCCTCATAGCCAGCAAGGGCAGAACATAGGTTATAAATAACGTTTGCCACACAGAACACATATTTCTCAACAACTTGCAAGAAATTAGCTGACAGTTGTTCTTAATTTGTCCATGATGATCTTGCCATTTAAATGCAAACCATTCTTAACATTTGCAAAACCTATTACAAAAATGCAGAGTCACCCAAGTCATGGATCAGCTCCAGGGTCAGCCTGCACAGAACACGAGGTCTCCACGGTATCCCCAGGAGAGAAGTGGGGAAAAAAACACTCAACTTTGCATGGTAAGACTCAAATGCGCTGTCCTGCTTCAACCTTGCATTCTCTGCTCTTCCTCGCCTCCCCAGCTTGGTGCCCTGGTGTTAGAAGTGCTTCGCTATGAATACACACTGAAAACAACTAAAACTGGTTCTCATCTCTGGGGCCTCTTCCCTTTCCACCTTCACCTCAGACTTTAAGGGGAGCACCTGGAGAGGCGTCCGCTTGCCCTTTGAGCCCTACAGGCACCATACCAGGGCCACAAAGTGTTCGAGGGTCTGTAAAAAGTTCGAGCTATAGGAAAAAAACAACACGGCTCTGAAGTCAGACAACAGCAGAATAAAAATAAATGCTTCTTTAAATGTCTATATCGTTTACCACTGTCAATTCTATTGTAAAATACGGTTTTCACTTAAAAAGCTATTCGTGGGTGTTTTTGTCAGTCTGCAAGAACTCCTGGGTGTACATGGTGAATGAGAAAAATCATACTGCCAATTACACGAGTTACTCACGGCCAAATAATTTCACAAAAGCAATCTGGCTAATGCCCTGTGGAGTTTTGGGGCGAGGCTGCCAGAGGGAGGAAGCCTCCCCCCACCCGCAGCCCCCCAAGGGACGGGCGTTGCCGAACAGGACCTGGTGACCCAAGGGACCCACGGCGGGCCGGGGCTGCTGGGCGGGGGAGGGGAAACGGGGCTGCAGGGCGCCAGCGCCGCCGCCACCGCTCCGGGTCGTCGGGCCACCTGTCGGCGCGCCGCTGGGCTGGGCAGGGCAGGGCAGGGCAGGGGAGGGGAGGGGAGGATAGGAAGGACAGGGCCGCCCCTCCTCCCTCTCTCCCTTCTGCCCGTACACTGACCTCCGCGTCCCGGCTAGCGGGTGTCGTCCGGGACGGGCGGCCGGGACCCTCGCACGAAACCGTCAACCGCTCGCCCGGCCCACAGCCCGCTGCAGCGCGTACATACTACGCAGGTCAGCCTACGGCTTGGCAGGAACCAGATCCAGCCGGCTGGGTAGTGACGCAAGCGCGCCCGTGCCCGCGGAGATGGGAGGGGTGCGGCGTGTGGGTGGAGCCTAGCGTCGCACGTGGCGCTCTTTGCGCGGCTGAGCGCGAGGCCCCGAAGCAAGCAGTGGGGAAGTGGCCAAGCCCAGGATGCTTTCTCCGCCTGGCAGGCGCGCAGCCCCACAACGCCAGCTTCTACCTCGAATCCCCAAGGCAGGGCTTCACCGAGTGCCCGGGTCGCAACCTACCCCACACAGCAGTTGTAGGGGGTGCCACACTGTTGAAGTGGCACTAGTAAAAAGTAGGGGCTCAATAAATGCTTACTGGACACACGAAGGTGCCACAGAACATTTTCCTCATCGCACAAAATTACCACATCTCTGAAGTTTGTGACTGCCCTAATACGGAGACTGTAGCTTATTGTTATCTTCCAGGGGCCACCAGGAGCCTTCCAGATACCCTGCGCCAGCCGGTAAGCACTAGATGGGCTAGGTGCTATCACACTCCCTCTTCCAGGTCCCCTCCTTCCCCACCTTGCGGTGGGTGTGATTGTCCCGCCTCCAGCTCCATGCGGGCCTCCTTCCTCCAGCCAGGACGACTCTTGTGCTTTTCCCCTTTGCCCCTTCACCACTACCTGTGGGCCTAGCTACACACAGAAGCCTGCTCAGTGCAGGGTACATTCCTGGGTCCCAAAGGCCTCGACACGTTGATGAGCAGAGGTCGAGGTGGTCCCTGGTCAACTTTTCCATGTGGACAAGTAACTCTCTTTATAGATAATGCTCAGGACTGTTTAAACTTAGGACTCGATTCTGAATCTTGAGTCCTAGAGGGCCTGCTAATGCCAACTCCCGTGCACCCTCTGACCTGGTGGCCACCTGCCAGCCCCAGGTCTCTTCATGCTCCTGTCCCATTCCTGCCCAATGGGTCACTCTGGGGACCTGACAAGGAGAGCTGGGGTTGAGCTGGCCTGGGAGGAGGGTGCAGCCTGGTGGGATGGGCAGGGTGCTGACAAGGAGGCACAGCTCATGGGGTCTTCACTCCCACCCCACCCCACCCCACCCCATGCTCCCAACCACCCCTGCGGTCCATACTTGACAGATGAGGACACTGAGGTTTGGTGAGGGTGAGCCAGTGTTCCTTTCAGAGCCCCTCTTTGCTCCGTGACCAGTGTGCAGGATGGTGCTGTCCCCCCACCTAGCCACACACACAGCCCGAGGCATTGGGCTGGAGCTCTTTCTGGTAGGTGGCTCCAGCTTGTCTCTGGGGGAAGTGGTACCTAGCACAGCCCTGAGGGTGGTGAGGGTGTGGCCAAGAAGGAGGTCTGCCACCAGACTGTGGGTCTACACAGCCTGGGCAACTTACTGACTTAAAAATTAAAAAAAAAAAAAAAAAAAAGGGCTTCAGGGCTGGGAATTTAGCTCAGTGGTTCTGCTGCCTGCCTCGAAAGCGCAAGGTCCAGAGTTCAATCACGTGTAACAAAAAAAAAATTTTGGAAAGTTTGGGCCGGGGATTTAGCTCAGTGGTTCCACCGCCTGCCTCAAAAGGGGAAGGACGCGAGTTTGATCCCTGGTACCAGAAAAAAAAAAGGGGGGCTTCATTGGGATGTAGCTCAGTGTAAGGGCCCTGGGTTCAATCCATAGAATCTCTTTTCTAGGCAAGTAGCAGGTGCTGATCAGGAAGAGGGGTACATGAGAGATGTGCAGCCTCCTCACACATGTGTGAAGCAACCTCTATACAGAGTGCACCATCCTAGGTACACCAGATGCCCCAGGACTGCATGCCTCTGGGCCAGGGACCATCCTAGGTGCTGTGTATCAGATGCTGCAGGACTGCACAAGCTGTACACTGGATACTGTCCTGAGTTTTGAGTATGTTGTGGGGAACAAAGAGAGGAAAATGCCTGTCCCCTGAGAGGGTGCTGGGGCTGAAATGTTGAGAATAATGGGGAAGGGAAGGAATAGAGGGAGTATAGGCTTGTTCTTTTGCAGTTAGCAATGGTCAGGAGGATGGAAGTCTAGAAACAGCACTGCAGGTGGCCCCTGTGCAGGGACCACAGGAGAGGGTACAGTCACGTGGTCATCTGCATACAGCAGGCCTGGAGGTCCCGAGGAGGGGTGGGATGTGGCAGCCTGGACACTATATAGTGAGAATCAGCCTTAAAAACCAGGGGCTTGCCCGGGATTTAGCTCAGTGGTTCTGGTGCCTGCCTCAGAAGCGCAAAGTCCTGAGTTTGATCCCCAGTACTAAAAAAAAAACCCAAAAAACCCAGGGCCAGGCACCCCAAGACCACAGGAATCACCCTGAGCCTTTCAGGAGGACTAGCTATGTCTGCCCAACACATGCTGTACTAATCGTACCACTGGGCTGACTGGGGTGCCCTGTCTGTTTCCCTGCCTGGTACCTCCCAGAGGGCTGAGCAGTGACATCTTGGGAGCATACAGGGTTTGGGAACATGTTCCACCTGGACCAGAGACCTGCTCACGCTCACCAGGCTGTGCTACTTCCCTCCTACCCTGCCTGCCTGGAAACAGGATCTGTGGGATGGAACCTGGGGGTGAGGGTGGGGGTGCCTAGGGGTATCCACTGTCAGCCAAGCAGGAGGAAGCAGGGGGAATATTGACTTTACCAGGCTCCTGTCTGTTGCCACCTGCACCCCACTTGTGGGAAACATGGTGTCACGAAATCTGGCAGGCCAGGAAGTGGAGGCCCTGGCATCTCAAGGCCTAGAGCCTTATGCCAGCACTGCCAGATACCTACAGCAGCCTGGGCTACATAGCAAGACCCTGTCTCAAACAAACAAATACAAAGAAATGAAGAAGTCAATTTACTCTGAAGCTAGTATTATCCTGACACCCAGACTAGACAAAAACAGTACCAAAGGAAACAAAGAAAAACAGAAAACTGCAGACTAATACACTTCATAAATACAGATGTTAAAAATCCTGTTTGGGGATGTATAAAAAGGATCATTTACCACAACCAACAAGGTTTATTCCAGAAATATGGGCCAGTTCCATATTTAAGAACCAAACAATGTAATGTACCTTATCTGCAGGGCAAGGAGAAATATCACATGGATATATCAATTGACACAGGAAAAGCATTTGACAAAATTCATGATAAAACTCTTAGAAACTAGGAATAGAGAATGTCCTCAATTTGGTAAAGAACATCTGCAGGCCCACTCCCAGATCAGAAATAGACCAAGGGGTCCTGGCCCTGGGCATCTCAGCCAGCACACACAGCAAGAGGAGAAGGCCAGAGTGGGGCAGGTCAAGGGAAGGGGAGGGCTTTGTCCACCTGCTGTGGAGGATGGTTGATAGAAAGAGCCTGAGGAATCTCCCAAGTAAGACTGCATCTGAGCTGTAAGAATCCTTGTGTTCCACACAGTAGTCATGGAAACTGGACTACAGCACCACTTGCTACTGTTCAATGAGAGGAAAGGCTTCACTGTAACTCTAACACACAGACAGGACCACTATACAGGAAACTATAAAATACTGATGAAAGAAACTTAAAAATCTAAATGAGCCAGACATATGGTAGACACGCCTATAATCTCAGGACTCTGGGAGGCTGAGGCAGGAGGATCTATAAAGTTCGAGTCTAGTCTAGGCAACTTAGTGAGACCCTGGCTCAAAATAATATAGGGCTAAGGATTTAGCTCAGTGGTTTCGCCACCTGCTGCACAAGCACAAGGACCAGAGTTCGATCCTCGGTACCAAAAATAAATAAATAAAATAAAAAATATAAAAGGGCTGGGGATGTAGCTCAGTGCAAAAGCCCTGAGTTCAATCCCCAGTACGGTAATAAATAAATAAATAAATAAAATTTATATGGAAGAGCAAGGAACTAGGATAGCTAAAACAATTTTGAAAAAGAGAAGCATAAGCATAAGGAATCAGTCTACCTGATTGCAAGGCTTATTATGAAGCCATGCTGTTCAAGACTGAGCAGGTGATCTGCTCAAGACAGTGTGGTGATCAAGACAGACACACAGACAGATAGAAAAGAATAAGGAACTCAGAACTTGCCCCACAGTGGCAATCTGACTTAATTTTGCCTTTTGCCATATGAGGATGGAACACAGGTTAGGGGTGCTCTACCACTGAGCTATGGGATGTCTCTTATTTTGAGAAGAGTTTTCATAAGTGCCTTAGGCTGGCCTTGAATTTGCAATCCTTCTGCCTCAGCCTTGTGAGTAGCTGAGATTACAGGCGTGTCCCACCATGCCCAGCTGCATTTGACTTTGGACAAAGGTTGTGAAAGTAATTCAACAGAGGAAGGAGTCTTTGCAGCAAATGGTGCTGGAGCAGTGGGGCATCCATGGGCAAAAAGCAAATCTTTTTTTTTTTTTGGTACCAGGGATCGAACTCTGGTCCTTCCACTTTCGAGGCAGGCGTCTAACCACTGAGCTAAATCCCCGGCCCAAAAAGCAAATCTTGAACCAAGGAGGACAGATGAATGGCACATGAAAAGATGCCTGACATACCTTTCTATGAGAGTGGCTAAAAGTTTAACACTGACAACACTAAATGTTGGCCAGGATGTGGAGCAATAGGAACTCTTGCTCATTGCTGGGGGAATGCAGAATAGTGCACTCTGGAAGACAGTTTGGCATCAGAACTAAACATATCTTACTGTGTAGTCTAACTTCCATGCTCCTTGTATTTATTTAAAGGTGCTGGAAACATCTGTCCACACAAAAAACCTACACATGGATGTTTACAGTAGCTTTGTTCAGAATTATCTGAACTCAGAAGCAACCACTTCAGTAGGTAACCGAACTCTGGTTCATCCATCCAATGGACTATTAATTCAGTGCTAAGAGGAAGTGAGCTATTAAGCTATAGAAAGCTATGGAAGATCTTTTTCATTTATTTATTTTTTTGTTTTTGGTACTGGAGATCGAACTTGGGACCTTGTGCTTGAGAGGCAGGTGGCGGAACCACTGAGCTAAATCCCTGGCCCCTTTTTCATTTATTTTTGAGACAGGGTCTTGCTATGTAGTTCAGGCTGGCCTTGAACTCTCTAGCCCAGGCTCACCTCAAAGTCTCGGTGATCCT